ATATATACATATATATTTTTACATGTATATATATTTCAACTTCAAATTTAATTGGCTGTCTATTTTTACGTCTTCTTTATTTCTTTTATTTGCTTTAGTCTGAGTAACCTACACTAATCATATCTATTATTATTGTCTCTTTTCTTTTGATGACGATACTGGAGGACTAGCTGGTGAAAGGATCGACTCCATTCACAGTAGCAAAGTCTTAACACACCGCATACTACAAACAATATATAATTAATCCACGCAGAACTCATTTTGAAATCAACCGAAGCTACGATATTCGAGTGGTGGGACGAACTACGCAGAAGTTTATCGAAGATCAGGAACCTCTACTCTACAGTCAAGAAGCTAGCACAAAGAAATCAAATTGGTTTATACTAGCTCGTAAAACCGACATTGGATACTGGAAGGAATATTTAGGTCGCACTTTTGAAATTTGCGGAACAATTATCAGGACAGTCGTTGAGTAAGAATGGTTGTTTTTTATCCTTCATTATGTTGATAATTCTGGTATTCTTTCTCTCTAATGTTTGTGCAGACATGTTAAGTTCAGTCCATTGTGATATTATTGGTTAATAAACTACTTATTCAATATGTGGGCCATCCTCTTAAGTAATTTCGGTGACTAAACTATAGCAGACCAAAACGAAGCTACATCTACCAACCAATTAGATTCGTAAGAAAAAAGTGTTTAATATGAAATAAACGTCTATATACAATTAATGCGATGTTAAAAATGGCTGCATAGGATAATATTGTTGTATATGTTCCAAAAAACCCAATTTCTTATGGGAGTCCTCATACGCAGGTTAAATCAATTTCTGTAAATAAATTCGTCAAGGTCGTCAATCCGTCCATCAGGTAATTTCGCTTTGAGCTGCCATAGTCTAGCGTTACTGTAATTTCCTTGGCCAATGCGCTATTTTTCGGCATTATTTTGGGACAGTTTTACATTGACTTCCACCGTATTTCGCCGAGACACTGGCGAGCATCCCCCCTCACGGACTTCAGAGAACTTAACGCTTTATTTGTAAAGAATTTCCAGACCTACGCAATGTGGAAACCAATGCTTTGACGGGGCTTTTTAATGTGACTGGTCAGAAATAAATTCAGTACTTATATATATCTATGTTCAAAGGTAAAGATGCAACCATTTAAGCTGACCTTCTTAAGGGGGGGTGAGTAGACTCTCTCTCTCATTAAGTTGGAATGCTGTGAAAATAACATTGCCTAGTATGATATTACACAGTTTCTTGATTTGTGTGGTTTATAATGTTTTATCTTCAGCAGCTTAACAGCCATAATAATGGTTAGGTTTTGGTTGTTAATTAGCCCTCAATCATTTCACCTTGATTAGGTACAAAATGATTGGTATATTTTTAATTCTTATGTCACTATCTTGGGCTAGTTCAACTATCACACCAGCTTTTTTTTATCCTTCACGTTCCCCAGTGGAACATAGGGCTTCAAGCTAATGGCTGGAAATTTCTGTAGCAGTGTTTATTTTACAGGACGGGGTTGCTAGGCTCATGCACAACCTTTCCTCTCTTCCAGCTTTTTATTTCTGGCTTAGCGAGGCAAAGGAGTGCGTCGGCCAGGGTTCGAGCCCCGGACCATGTGCATGGTCGGCGAGCATCCTAACCGCTATGCCACCACACCACCTATTTCGGTTGAAATTCAGAGGGACGGTAATTCCAAACCAATCAGAAACTTTCCTGACTTCAGGTTTTTTGAACATTTGAATGAATATGTATTTTCCATCGTCTGTGACAATACCAAAAGTTCCACCACTAAAATAGACACGCAATCAATATTTACTGCAACATAGCCATCTGACTTACTTATCAAGTTGGAATCGTGCACAAGACTGCAGTGGTTCGTTCGAGTCGAGAAACTTTCATAAACAAGTTTGAAGGTATCACAGTGAACGGAAATTTGCAACCGGATTTTCAAATTATTGAGGATTTTGAAAATTGGAATAATACATCTACAAAACAGAGTCTCTTTTACCAGCATTCTCTAACCACTAAATCTCAACGTCTTGGTAATCTCAATCACCTCACCACATGATTCAAACTAATAGTCAAAGACTTAGTTAATCGGCGTCATGTTTTCATGTAACCATCCTAAATCTTTTCAAGCCCAGGCCCATTCAAACTGGCTAGGCATACGTAACACATCGCAATCACCACAGTTGTTTTACAGACTCATCTGTTGGCTTTCCCTCACACCTTACGTCTGCCTTAATTATCATTTACCACATTGCACCGTCTAACTTCACCAAACATTAGAATGGGGAGAAATTAAATGTTGAACCCTTAATTCAGTCAAAATTCGACCACTATTTACCAGTGGAACTAAGTATTTGAAGAAATCTCCAGGTTATTTCGTGTATTATGCGAGTGGTTTTACGATTTAAAAGGCTGTTTTATGTGAGGAAAATAACCATATGCATAGAAATAACGTACTGGTATTAACCGGGATGGTATGAATAGTTCACCAACGCACACTGACATAGAGGACTTCAATCACTAATCAAAGTGAAGATGTGTCTGACTGACCGAAACGCATGGCGTCCAACAAGTGGGTAGTCCAGCGTTCTGATTACACTTCAACTAGTCCAAACAGGGTGACTATTCACTATTTATTATCTGTTCCAACTAACTAATTTCCAATGAAGCTAATATTAATCAGGTGAAAACTTTGTGTATACGGAAGCAAGATAATACTCAATGTTTTGAAGATGATATTTCATTGTGTTCTGTCTGGAAATGGGGCAACTGAGATGTTCTGTATGATTGCATGGAGGATTTCATCATGAGCTGACATCAGTTAGACAACCACTGGAAAACCTGGGAGTACTGGACAGCTGTTTCGTCCTAGTTTGGGACTCTTCATCAGTACGCACCCACCGGGGTTCGAACCCAGGACCTTCTGGCTACAAGGCGAGCTCGTATACCATTAAGCCACTGGGACCCGATCCAATGGCCCATGAATTCTAACTTCTGCCAATTCACGACATAGCGCAACCATTTCTTCTTCGATGATTTACAGCCTCATCTTCAACCTGCTGTACCCTACTGGTCACGGTGCTTGGAGTCTTGCTGTATGCCGGTGAAACCTGGCCTCTTCACATGAGTTGAGAATGTGCAGCGACTCTGAGTATTCGGTCATCTCTGTCTCCGTGAATTTTCTTGCTGTCGATGGCATCCTTGTGTGAGTAATTCTGAGGTCATGCTGCATGTGTTTGGACACAGTGCAGATTACCACTCATTAGGTGTCGTCATCTGGAAACACCATATCCTGTGGCTTGGACATTTACTACGAATGTCATCTCAGGAGCTTCTGTACCGGTCTCTGTTCTCTAGCCTTGCGACTGGGTGAAAAAAGACAGAGGTGGTTAGCCTATGAAGTGGGGTCATGGGATGAAGCATATTTGTGGTAGATTGGGATCGGCTGATACATCACGACTCCTTGGTTAGTGTCCAAGAGACAGTTGGAATCGGTAGCTTGAAAAGTTATCAGAAATGGCCAAGATTCGTAACCAGTGGCAAATATGTTACAATTCCCTCTTTTCTTCCCTTTCCGGACAGCAATTCAGCAAATGTTGTCTGGTCTTGTTAAACATAGTTGCTCCCTTTCTGGATGAAGTTTTTTACTTTATATATTTTATTATTATTGTGTGACATCTTGGTGCCTATATTGTACCAGGTTCTGTCTTTTAAATAAAGCCAAAAAAAACAACAACAAACAAATGCGCCACTTGATATTGATGAAATATCCACTCTGGTAGTATACCTAAGTATAATTGCAGCATCGGGCCGTCCTCCTTTATGACTGTGAGTGAGACATGGTCATTGAAAGCGGAAGACATGAATAGCTTGGCCAGTTGTCTTTGATCATAGGTGTCTGCGTCCTGTCTCTCATGTTATTTTATTATTATTTTATCCCTTTACGTTTCCAGTGGAGCATAAGGTTTCAAGTTAGAGCTTTGAAGTTTCGGTAGCAGTGATTTTTATTTTTTTATTGGATGGGGTTGCTATCCTCATGACCAACCTTCCCTTTTTACCAGTCTTATGACTGGCTTAGCTAGGTAAAGGAGTGCGTCTGTGGCCGGGGATCGAACCCCGTGCCACCTGCATGGTTGGCGAGCGTTCTATCTCTGTGCCACCGACGCATCCCCATGTTAGTTGGTGATATAATAGGGTAAGTAATATTGAGACTAAGCATCAATGGAGTGATATGTAAGGGGAGGGGGAAATCAATCGCTGAGGTTGTGAAGTTACATCGATTCAGATGATTAGAACATGTGTTACACATCCCTAGCCATCGATCGCCTTCCTCATCCAACAATGTTACGTGATATTGGATCAGGTTGGGGAAGAGCTAGTTGTGGTCAAACCAAAACATGGGATCAGTCAATGGAATCCATGACAGTTAATTCAAGCCAGCCACGTAGGGAGCTGTAGACTGCCTGACTGTCTGGTTGGAATGCTAGGAACCAATGAAGGCGCGAAGAAATCAGTGATATGGCTGCAAATCATCCTTCTCAATGGCTTGCGCAGATGCATTCACTCTTTATGATTTATCACATTCAATAAAACTCTATTATTGTTCTTCCACATTACTATTCTTTTTCCCTCACTATCTGTCTTCTGATGAATCTCTCTTCACCCTCTTCTCTTGCTTTGTGTGTACTATACGGAGGGAGAGTTGGCAACTCGAACTGTTGCAGTTCTGTGTAAAGGTTTACGTTGAAACTAGTTATTTAGTCAGTTAGTCAGTCAGAACTATCTATCAAGTTACCTATCTACCAAGTATTGTCGTGATATACAACGTGACATTTTGGGCCTATAAGTTAGAGTCTTTACTTCAGACGAGTAACTGTTAACTTAGCAAGTATGAATTACAACGCATATGAAACACCAGTGTCCTGGAAGTACAGTTAAAAATCCTCTTCAGTGTTTAACAGTTACTTTTTTTCTTTGTTTAGCGTATATTCTCTAGAAGTCCACTCCGGTGTATATTCTTTTTGATGTGAAATCACCGAAATCCAGACGTTATGGCTGCTGATTCTGCTGTCACTATAATACCTATTCTCCAGCAAAGATGTGATACTTTAAGAAGTAAGGTGAGTTGTATTTCCCTGGTATGTTTTCCTATCGAGTTTCACTTATCTCAGTAATACTGTTTTGTATGTTAGTGGGGGGGGGTACATTTATACTGTATGCTTCGTATAAGAATTTATTATTATTATTCCCTTGGGTTTCGAATGGAACATAAGGCTTCAACAGCACATCTTCAGTCTTTTTCTTTGCAACCCTCCTCAACTGCCTCCATGATTGCCTATAGGCTCTCATCCTCTCTCCATATCATCCTCAAACTGATGCTAAACTCGTCCTTTCCCTTTCGGGTTCCAGTTGAGCGTTGGTTTGTTGCGCAGTGTAACCCAACCGTCTCCATTTTCTCTAGGATATTTCTTTAGCAATAGGTTCTTGGTCGTTCGCTTCCAGAGTTTCTCGTTTCTAATTCTTTCTGGTCAGCCACCAATCAAATCTGCAGTATGAAGCCAGTGAAAGGCATCTGTTGATAAAAGTCTGCATCAGGCTGTTGGAAATGCTTTTTGTGATGCGCACTGCAAGTTTCTGATGCATATAGAAAAACTGAATGACTTACCATTTGTGTTGGAAATTCGAATTTCCTTCTTTATACAGAATGCATAAGATTTACAAACTGATTTGTGGGTGATGAACATCCGCCTTGCCTTGCCGATTCCGCTTTTGACATCCGTTCATCCGTTCTGTCGCCTGTAGTTCAAACGATGCTTGCTGCCCCTAGGTAAGTGAAGGAAGTGATCTCTTCGTTGATAGTGACTGGTGCTTGTTGTTGTTGTTGTTAGTCGGTTATCTTTATCACCTTCGTCTTCTTCATATTCATCTGAAGTTCTATCTTTGCTGCACTGCTTCTTCTTCCAACCTGTTGGTTTTTGCCTGTAATTCTTGAAGTTTGTGGGACATTATTGTAGAAATAAATCGTCCGCGAAGTCTAGATCCTATGGAGTCTTCTTCCTGTGTGTACGCGTGTGACTCAAAGCAACTGTCAAAGATTTTATAGATGGAAGACAGGTTTTTAGTCTGACAACCTTTTAACTCTTTTCCTCCAACCTAATTTTATATACCAGCTAGGATCATTGTTTGTCGAGGAAGGCGATGACGCATGTTTCGACCTCTTGTTGATGTTGATATTATTATTTTTTTCACTTTGTTTTTTGGAGAAAATAAAAGGCAAATTCAGCGAAGAAAATTGTCTTTGGTTACAGGATTTCATCATGAGCTGACATCGGTTAGAGAACCATTGGAAAACCTGGGAGTACTGGATAACTGTTTCGTCCTAGTTTGGGACTCTTCAGCAGTACGCACCCACCAACGGGGTTCGAACCCAGGACCTTCTGGTTACAAGGCGAGCTCATAGACCATTAAGCCACTGGGACCGATCCAATGTCCAGTGCATGAATTCTAACTTCTGCTAGCGGTTGCGCTATGTCGTGAATTGGTAGAAGTTAGAATTCATGCACTGGACATTGGATTGGTCCCAGTGGCTTAACGGTCAATGAGCTCGCCTTGTAACCAGAAGGTCCTGGGTTCGAACCCCGATGGTTGCGTACTGATGAAGAGTCCCAAACTAGGACGAAACAAGCGTCCAGTACTCCCAGGCTTTCCAATGGTTCTCTAACCAATGTCAGCTCATGATGGAATCCTGTAACCAATCAATCAAAATTCCCTACAGTTTAATACTTGAAAATTTTCTTTATCGACGAAATCATCTTCAGAGACTCTACAGTCGTATTTATATTTACCAGATATGTATAGCATTCCATTGCTGAATAATAGGGTAGGGGTGACATAATTGATATAGTTACTCATAAGTGGCTTTAGAAGTAAGAAAAAATAAAAGTTGTAAATTACGTGGTACTCAATGGCACAAAGTTAGAAATTTGATAAGGTTAAAATTGCTATTGAGTGAGAAGAAAGATGCTTGTTTAGTGTCAATTTAACAAGTGTGAGGAGGGTGTGAAAATGTACAAAAGGAACATATGAGAGTGATAATAGTGAATTAATTACTAAAGCAAAATCAAAACTAAAAGTAAGATTAAAAATTACAAAAAAGAAGAAAATCAAAAAAACTTTTTAACAGGGAACGAATAGTGAAGAGGTTAAAACCAAGGTGTAGAATAAGAGACTGGACAAATTTTTTCCTTCATACAGAGTTCGAGATTGTATTGACGAATTGCCAGCACCTCCGGTATACACAAAAGCCGAAACCTGACTCTCTTTGTACCATTTGACTCCCCCCACCTTGTAGATGATCTTGAAAGACGACTCTGGGGTGGAGCTGCGTGGCCTGACTTCACCAAGTGTTTGTTTTTTCTTTCTTTTGTTTTTTGTGAACAGATTGCAGATTTCACCTTAGTCAATCAAGCGTTACAGTTGAAAACCTACCAATTGTTGAATTTCATTAATCGTCATGAAGATTACTCCGGTTTAATTACAAAAGAATACGATGAAGTCTCTAATGATATCAATATTGTCCAATCAGCTATTGATAAGTATACGTGTGAATTAGAAGATTGGAAAGCTAAACTGGATCAATATATGATGATGGTGACAACAATGATGTTGAACAATAATAATAATAATAGTGGAAACAATACTACTAATATTACTAATAGTAGTAACACTAATGAAGATAATACAAATCTTACATCATTACTAAACAAAGTCATGCTGAATGGTTCACTATTATCATCATCATCTCAACCGTCTTCTTGTCTACAACTCCTCACCGGAACATCACCATCATCATTACTGACGAATTCAATGATCCAAGTGGACAACAGTACTGGACAAGCCTCGTCATCAACAACAAGGCCACCGATCACCAAATTACGCTTACGTGCAAATCTACCGAATAGTCAGTTTACACTAGTCGAGATAAAATCTGGTCAACAGATTAAGCATGCTTTAGAAAAGAAGTTATCACATCGTGGCTTGCACTTAGAACAGTTAATTGTTTATCGAGCACGTACAGGGTAATTTATACTTTCTTTCTTTTTCTTTCTTTTTTTCTTTTGTTAAAGTGAACTTTTAATTTTTTTTAATTATGATATGAGTTAAGGCGTTGTGAATGAACGATTTTAGATGTTGTTTTGCTTGCTGCTGACAGTGTGTCTTATAACCAAAAGTAACTGACTGGTTTCAGCTTAGAACAGTTCGAGTTACCACGTTACGAATAGCACACCAAGGTAGACAGGAAAATGAGTGAAGAGAATCAATAGAGTTTTGACAAGTATAAGAGTGAAACAGAATGAGTAATGGTAGAAAGGAATATGAAAGATTACACGAGAGACTGAATACATCTGCGTAAGCCATTGACAACGATTTTGAGCCATGTCACTTAGTGTCTGTCTCCCGCCATTGATTCTTAGAGTCCCGAGGGTGGGCCCCAACCCGGAAGTCTGCATCTCCCTTCCTAACTGACTCAGTTTAACTGTCAGGGATTTCATGGATTGATGAGGCCATGTTTTTGTTTGGCCACCACTTACTCTTTTCCAACCTGCACCTATATCAGCTAGTAATGCCCGTCGTCGGGGGAGGCGATGGTTAGGCATGCGCAGCACGTGACCTAGCCATCTCAATCTATGTAACTTTATAGCCTCCTCGATTGATTTTCCCTCTTTGCTCAACATAACAGAAGTGTCAGTGAGGGAAAAAGAGACAGTAATATGGAAGAAGAATAATGGAGTTTTATTGAATGTGACAAATCACAAAGAGTGAATGCATCTGCAGCAGCCAATGATAACGGCCATTTCGAGCCATATCACCACTTATCTCCAGCTTTCATTGGTTCTTAGCATTCCAAGGACCCCAACTAAACAGTCAGGCAGTCTACACCTCCCTGCGTGACGGCTTTAAGCTAACTGTTTTGGACTTCATTGACTGATGAAACCATGTTTCGCTTTAACCACCACTAGCTCATGTTTTCCAGCCTGACCCCATCTTGTGTCAGCTAACATTGCCCGTTGTTGAGGAAGGCTATCGATGGCTAAGAATGAATGTGTAACACATGTCCTAACCATCTCAATTGAAGTAACTTCGCAGCCTCGTCGAATGATTTCACCTCCCTACCTAGCACTCAACCAAAGCCTAACCTCATTATTACTCACCTTATTGTACCACTTAACACGGGAGATAGAACGCAGACACGTATGATCAAAGGCAGCTTTCTGGCGTTTTCATGTCTTCAACTTTTAATGGCCATGTCTCAATCACAATCATAGAGGAGGAGGGAGTGAACTGCTGATCGAAGGTAGAACGTAAAGGGTATGCTCATACTTTAGGGGGTGGGAGTCCTTACAAACGACCTTGTACAAGTGAGAGTAGGTAAACTCCGGTCTTCCCCTCGAAATACTGTCGTGTGTCCGCTAGCTGTTAGCCTCTGCTAGTTAAGTCTTATTCACTGTTTTCAATCAGTCGGGAGGAGGAGGTGTTCCTCAAAAAATGGAAAGGCAAATACAAACGTGTGACGCTTACGGCTGGACATCGAGATGGTTTACCTGTCCTTCATTGGTTTTTACCGTCCCGAGGGCCCCAACCAGAAAGTCTACGCCTTCTTACTTGGCTTAAACTAACTGTTGTGGATTTCATTGACTAATGAAACCATGTTTTGGTTTGGTTACCACTAGTTAGCTCTTTTCCAGCCTGACCATATGTCAGCTAACATTGCCTGTCGAGGAAGGTGATAGCTAGGCGTGCGCAACACATGTCCTAACCATCTCAGTCGATGTAACTTCATAGTCTCGTCTATTGATTTCCCTTCCTTATCTAGCACTCGACCAAAGCCTATCCTCAATATTGCTCACTCTATTATACCATTTCACATGGGAGACAGAACGCGTGTACCTATGGTCAAAGACAACTAGTTAGCTTTTCCATGTCTTCCACTCTCTATGGCCATCTCTCACTCACAGCCGTGAAGGAGGAGGGAGCGAACTACCGAGCAGTACACCTGCCTTTTGGTCGATAGCCGGTTATCGCGTCTACGCCAGAGAATATGCCGGTAACTGCTTGTAGTCTAATCGCTGTCCAAACACAATCTTTCTGGAACGGTAGGAACCTTCAGGAACACATTAGTTCCAGTCAGTGTTAGTTTGTTCGCTCATTGTGATATGCCAGCCCAACCATCACGTCAAAGTATCGATTCTTCCATCTGTTAACAATAATTTAGAAACATACTTAACCTGTCCTAAGAAATTGTCACTGATCTATTTTTATTCTCCTTCTTTTTTTTTCTCTGAAATGCAAAATTCAGTCTACCCGTTTCATGGGAAGATGATGCTGAACAAATTGCACTGATCGGTGAAGAATTGATAGTGGATTTCGCAAGACGAAATGTTAAACGATTAGAGCATCATTTTCAAAGGAAGACATTTTTTGAAAAAGCCTATTGTAATCTATGCCATAAATCAATATTCCATGGTAAGTCAGTTTGTAAAATATTTCCAAGTTCTGATGATTATGAAGTCATATATATAAGTTAGAGTAAGTAGTATTGAAAGCCAGTAAGACAGTATTGTACATCTGTTTCGTCCTTGTCGGAGGCTCTTCAGTAATACGCACTTATGATCCCAATGGGGGATTGAATCTGTGACTTTTAGATTATAGAAAATCAAAACAAATGATTCAGCGAAGAGACTCTTTTCAACGAATTTATCATCAAGTTATATCCGGTGAGGGAATTGAAACATAGGTGTGAATGCATAAAATAATAATAATATGAAATGCAATTAAAACTAAAATGTTTGTGATTATAATCGTAGTTAAATGTCAAGTGGCAAAGCAAATTAATGTCATATATAGAATAATTCATAGGATGGATAGAACTTGAAAAAGGTGTGCAATTATAAGATTAGTAGACAAATCGAATAAAATAAAAACGTAACGTAATATTGTGTGAAATTTAATAGCATAGAATTTAATGTTGCATAAAGGAATTGATTTAGAATGACAAGTGGAACAAGTGAAATAATACTGGGGACAATTAAAAGTGAGAGTAGTAATAGTAACAACTGACGTAATAAGGAAGAGTATACAAATTGAATAGACAAAAATGAAAAAAAAATGAAAAATTGGTAAAGCTAAAATATGATTGGGGATTAGCATACTTTAGCATAGAGGAGGGATTAAGACCATGAAAGTTGGAGGGGTTGAACGAACTTTTTCTGTACACAGAGATCTGGCTTTTCTGTTTCGATAGCCAAAGATGGCTTCAGCAATACAGATGAGTCGGGTACGTAGGGATTTGGGTAAATTACTCTTTGCCTTGTGCATGACTTTTAGATTACGAGGTAGCCAAGTTGGTCGTGTAGCTACTTGGACGGAATTCAGTGGCCCCAGGCTGGGATGAAACACCTGTGCAGTATTCCCTTGTTTTCCAATGGTTCTCTAACTGATGTCAATCCTACAGTAGAAACTAACACTTTTTTAATCCCATTTTTGTATGTTTAACTAATACTGTATGTATGTCAATATTCTATTTTTAAGGTGCTATATGTAAAACATGTGGATGTGCCTATCATAACCGATGCCTTCCACGTGTTGATAAGAATTGTCTATCCACCTTGGATGATGATGTCTTCTTTGCCGGTGATCAACAAAGCAGTCGAAAGTAAGACAATGCAACGATTTCTTTTTTCACATTTATCATATTCGTTTTTTGTATCGTCTTTCTAAATCCAAATTACTAGGCTCTTCAAGGGTTTAATATATGCGTAAAACTTGGGTGGGCAGCAATGTGGTAGTAGTAAGTAATTCCATATTACTTTGTTTGTTTATTAGATATATCACACAGTCAGTGAAACAGTATTACTGTTTACTGGATGATGTTTCGAGCACCATTTATTGGTCATAATCATTGCATCACTTATAAGCACACGACTTCGAAACTCTCGTCTTACAGTTTTCTTTGCTCTCTCCTATTTGTCGTCATTGGGGTAGTAGTAGAATTTTCCAGATATCCGACTGGACAGGTGTGGAATCATTCCTATTACATGTATTTGCAGTTGATTCGATAAACAAAGCTTCTGTTATCAACCTCTCCCTCCCTCCACCCTGTGATATTAGATTTTAAAACTGTCATCCTATCCCATGATCCTTTTGTATGGTTGTGTGTAACTGCATGTGGTGAGTGCTGCAGCTCAACTATCCTCTAGATTTCTTATCTTATTTGGATCAACCAATCTAGATTTTGCTAAATTTTTATGTTTGGCTAGTCTGACTGCCCCTGTTCTACTAGTTTGACCTATTTATTTGACCTGACAATCATTAGAGGCAGGGTAAAAAAGCCCGACCTGCTTTCGCTAACTTACACCATCTCTGGCGTAGACGTGACATCCGGCTATCAACCAGAGGACGTGTGTACTGCTCAGAAGTTCGCTCCGTCCTTCTCTATGGCTCTGAAACATGGCCAATACGAGTTGAAGACATGAAAAGGTTGACTGTTTTTGATCATAGATGTCTACGATCTCTTTCCCACGTTAGGTGGTATAATAAGGTAAGTAATGTTGACGTTAGGCGTAGAGTGTTGGGCAAAGAGGGAAAATCAATCGAGGAGGCTATAAAGTTACATAGATTGAGATGGCTAGGTCACGTGCTGCGCATGCCTAACCATCGCCCCCCCCCCTCCCGACGGGCATTACTAGCTGATATAGGTGCAAGTTGGAAAAGAGTAAGTGGTGGCCAAACAAAAACATGGCCTCATCAATCCATGAAATCCTTGACAGTTAAACTGAGTCAGGTAGGTAGGGAGATGCAGACTTCCGGGTTGGGGCCCACCCTCGGGACTCTAAGAATCAATGGCTGGAGACAATAGGTGTTGACATGGCTCAAAATCGTTGTCAATGGCTTACGCAGATGTATTCAGTTTCTGTAATCTTTCATATTTCTTTCTACCATTACTCATTCTGTTTCACTCTTATACTTGTCAAAACTCCATTGATTCTCTTCACTCATCTTCTTGTCTACCTTTGTTTGCTCTTTGGAACGTGGCAACTCGAACTGCTGCACTTTGGTGCCAAGTTCTATGTTGAATCCAGACAGTCCAGACAGAGAGGTAGAGTATTAGATAAATCAAATTGTTTTGTTTTGAAGGCTCCACAGGATTGATCCTTTAACCGACAATTCTTGTTTCTAATTGAGTTTGTGGTTGGTTTGAATGCCAGCCACTTTTATTCCTGCCTGCAACCTTAAGAATTCTTTCTTAAGGTGGTTCCCGAGGTTCCTTTCTTGTATGTTTGTTTATCGAATCAGCTGCAAATGCATGTAATAGGAATGATTCAACACCTGTCTTAGATATCCCAATGACGACAAATAGGAGATGACAAAGAAAACTATAAAAGTCAGGTTTCGAAGTCGTGTGGTTGTAATTGATACTATGATTATAAACAATAGATAAATTGTGTATGAAACTTTGTCATCCAGTAAATAATACTGTTTCACTGTGTGATACATTTGATAAAGAAACTAATCTTCAAGAGTTTATTTGTAAGGATATGATGATTGGCTACATGTTCGATCACGAGTTGGTATCAGTTAGAGAACCAGTGAGAATCACGCACAAGGAGTAATGGACAGCTGTTTCGTCTGTGTGGAGATGGGGACTCATCGGCAGAACACACCCACTGTCGCCAGGTTTCGAATCCACGGCTTATCGGTTATGTGGCGAGCTTGCAGACCATTCAACCATTAGGAGACGACTCAATGGACATGATTTTAGCTCGACTGGCATCAGCTAGTGTTATTCGGCGAGTACATGTACTCACTGTTAACCGGGTGGATTCCACTGGTCACGATTCCTTACTAGAACTGTAGTCAACTTCGTCCTTTAGTCAGGCACTAGCAAGTTTGTTTGTAGGGATTAGATATTCTCCAGTTTTGATCACGGATTGATATCACACGGAGAATCATTAAAAAGTCTGTGAAATTGGCTTGTGGTCACGCTAAAATCATGAATTGGTAGAAGTTTCAATTCATGGACTGGTCATTAAGTCGGGTGCTAGTGACTGAATCATAAATGAGGTTTCCTTGTAGGTTGAAGGTCATGGGCTCGAACTTCTGCCGTGGGTGTGCACTACCGGTGAATCCCAGCCTAGGATGAGATAACTATCAAGTGCTGGGTTTTCCTATTAAAAGTGTGTTTATTCTTTGTATTGACACGCTAGACAGACTTATGTTCACGTTGGAATTAACTGGATGTGACAACACTTTGAGACATAACAACAGGACAAGCAGTGCAATAATCTTAAATCTGAAGAGATAAATTCGTGTAAAATGTTTTAAATAGTGGAAAATACCCATTGGGGACATTAGAGGGAAAAGAACAAGAAGTTCAGCTACACAGATATCTTTTCGGCGATTTCATTCTCAAAAGCTGTACCATCGCATTTATATACATTAGTTAACATGGGTACAATTCTTGTTTATTTAATTCCACATAGTAACGAAGGAGATAATAATTTTCATTTTTATATGGAAGTTTGAAGATACGAGTATAGATTACAAGAGGCTTAGAGACAAGATTGCATTGGATCAGAAAGCAGTTGCAACGTATGCAAAATTAATATTTGATAACTGGAGGAATAATTGTAGATGCGAATAAAAGGTGGCAATTGTTTTGAACTTGATATGAATTACAAGAGGCTTAGAAACGAAATTTATGCAGGGATAGAACGAATTACAGGTGTGAACAAAATGACCATAGAAACAAATTGAAATCAAAATTTTCAACTTGAAATGTAAGTTATGAGGTGTGTGTGAATATAGATTACAAGAGGCATAGAAACAAAAACTTACACAGGATTAGAATATAATTGTAAAATGGTTATTCTAAACGGATTACAAGTGTGACCAGGAGGAGTGTGGAAACAAACTTAAAATAACTGATTTTATAACTGAAAAAATCGGATGAATTGAGTGAAGATAAAGAGAGAAAATTACACACACACAGAACAAAACCAAAAAGACTGAAGGATAAGGGGACATACCAAACTAGGTCCACGGTAATTGTAAAGGCTGGACTAGTTTCATTTGGACACATAGCTCCGACTTTTCGATGCATATGGCGAGAGCTTCCGCAGTACAAAGACGTCGGAAACACACTGCCTTTGGTAGATTTTTGTTTACTTTGTAAATGACTCTGAATGATGGGTCAGTTGAGATGCTGTGACAGGTATTGGCGGGATGTTCAGTTATGGCGCTTCTGATTGTACCAGTGCCTCCTCTTTGCAGCCATGGTGGATGATGTTCCCTAACACGTTTTGATAGGACCCGCATAGAACGACCTGTGTATCTAGCCCCACAAGAGCAGGCGAACTGATATATGCACATCGAAGTGGTCATATGCGGAAGTCTGTCCTTCACGTTGCTCCGAAGCAGTGGGCGGCTAGAGAATATCACTCTTAGAGTTGCTGCCGACAAAGTTTTCTTCAGGGAATTGGAGATTCTCCTTTTAAGGATATCTGCTGCTAGGTCTCCTCTGAATTCCAGATTCAAGTAAAGTATTTTCTTTGGCACTGAAGTGTATTCTTCTCTTTTTGGCTTTGGTTTCATGTTCTTCTCTACGAAACGCGGTGGGTATCCATTTTGGACCAGGATGCTTTTGAGAAATAGGAGCTCTTCTAAACAGTCATCGCTGCAAATTCTTCTGGCACGTTCGGTTAGCGAGATCATGAGAGCTCTTTTACGGCTGACAGGTATCCAACTGTAGAAGTTTGTCAGTTGGTCATTCCATGTTGGCTTTCTATGGATAGATCTTTTCAGAGTTCCGTCATCTCTTTTTGTCAATTCGACGTCCAGGAATGGAATCTTTAATTCATTTTCAACTTCCATTGTGAATTTAATTGAAGAATGGCAGTTATTAATTCCTGTAAGGTGTTTTACAGCGAAGGCGCTCTTCTCAGCGAATTCACTTTCCCTTTTTTGCTGTACAATCGCATGTATATACAACTGTTTCTCATGAAAAAGCGTAGTAAAAACAAGTAATAAGTTGTCACTAACATAGTCGCTGATATTAGATAATAGGAGGCGATCGGCAGAAAGCCTTGCTTGACCTAGGTTTCGTGCTAGCTGGTACTCGCCAGTTAGGGCAAGGCGTATCTGCAATTTTTGAAGTAATTCATGTCTCTCCTTCTGAGATTCGAACCCGTGTCACTCAGTGAGTGATGCAGCCAGAGATGGGTTGGTCACTGACGAAATCACGGCACGGATACATACAGAAGGCTGCTTTCGCATATGCCAGTTTACGCCGTCTCTTGCGTAGATGTGATATGCAGTTGGCTATCGACCAAAGGACATGTGTACTGCTCAGCAGTCCACTCCGCCCTCCTTTATGGCTGTGAGTGGGAGATGGCCATTGAGAGTGGAAGACATGAAAAACCTGGCTAGCTGTCTTTGATCATAGGTGCCTACGCTCTGTCTCCCATGTGAAGTGGTATAATTAGATGAGGAATACTGAGGTTAGGCTTTGGTCGAGTGCTGGGTAACGAGGCGAAATCAGTCGATGGTTAAGATGTGTGTTACGCATGCTAGCCTAGCCATCGATCGTCTTCCTCGACAACGGGCAATGTTAGCTGACATAGGGTAAGGTTGGAACAGAGCCAGTGGTGGTCAAGCCAAAACACTGCTTCATCAGTCAATGAGGTCCAAAACAGTTAGTTTAAAGCAGACACGTAGGAAGGTGTTGACTTCCTGACTGTTTTGGGTCGTCGAGATGGTAAGAACCAATGAAGACTGAAAACAATTGGTGATATAGCTCATCTTCATCATCCTTCTGAATGGTTGGTGCAGATTCATTCACTCTTTATGACTTGTAATATTCAATAAAACTATTATTGTTCTTCCATATTACTGTCTCTTTTTCTGTCTGACATTTCTGTTTATTATCTGTCGTTGGAATCTCTTTTTACTCTCTCTCTTGTCTTGTCTTTGTGTGCTACATGGAGGGAGAGTGGCAACTCGAAGCGGTACAGCACTTCTTTTGCAAAGTTGTATGTTGAAACCAGTCAGTCAGTCAGTCACTGCTGATTGTGTTAGGCTGGGTCATACAATATGGCGGGCTGAGCAAGCAGGTGGGCATACGTCAGACTGATAAAGATCTTGACTTTGTGAATGATTTCTGCATATAATTTCACACAAACTCTTGAAGGTTTAGAGACAAAAACTGACAAGGTGGTAGAGGAAGCAGCAAAGCCGAGACTTTAGGGGTAGACGTAGAAAAGATGCAGGGCTGATGAAGATATCTAACCAACAGGGGTGATCTTAGTTACTTGAAAGCAACCAATCAGACCTTCATTTTGATCTGAAATCAGCGTAGAAGTCTGCTGCATTTAGTATAAGGAATAAGGTTCGTATTTTCAACACTAATGTCAAGTCAGTCAACCCTTCTGTATGATTCAAAGACGACATGTCATCGGAGGCGTTCGGAACTGGCTGCTTCAGACTTTTATCAACACACCCTCCGTTCCCACATGCCTTGGTACTGAAGATCAGTTGGCCAGAAAAGATAAGCAACAGGGAACACTATGTTAACAACAACATACACGTTAAATCTGCTGTGATTGGTTCGTGAGTTCCTCAAAGTTAAGCTTTGTTAATTAATTTTAATACTTCTGCCCGGTTAGCAATCCGTTTATGCAGTCGGAAACCTGCACGACTTAGCAGATCACTTACGTCAGTGATAAACCTACTGGCGATCTCAACATCCTCAAAGCATGCCAAGCAGTCGTCGACATAAAAGTTGTGCCGTAGTATATATCTCTTACTGTCTATGTCTATTTCCTTGGCGGCCTGCTTAAATCTTGGGCTACCAAATACCTTATGCATTACAAATCATATAAGCAACCAAAGTCCTCTACTGCCTTTCTCAACGCTAAGTTCGCACAGAAGGGTGATGAAGTTGCCCCGAATGGATGCGCTGTCATCTGAAACTCCTGTGGCTCTTCGTCTAGACAACCATTTTTCCACCACAGAAATCGTAATGCTCCTCGATCGTCTACTGGCACCTTCACTTGCATAAACATATATCAGCTATGTCCACGACTACAGCAATAAGCTTTTCTCGAAAGCGCAACAGAACACCAACAAGCTCGGCAATCGTATCAGGTCCTTGATATAGCTTATCGTCCAAAGAATAACACCTCTAAAGGTTGCGGCGCAATCTAGAACTATTCTCAGTTTATCTAGCTTTTTCGGATTCATTACGGGATGATGTGGAAGATACCACCTCGGGCGATAGTTGGCTGCTAGCTGCTCTGGGGGTACCGGTAGGACCTAACCATTTTTTAACATCGTATTTATCCCATCCACATATCGTGCTAAAAGGTTCTTGTCACGCGATAACCTCCGTTTCAGACTGAGTAACCGATTTATGGCGACTACATAATTATTGTCCGTTACCTTTGCTGGAACTTTCCATAGCAAGGGAATGATGTAATGCCCCTTTTCTAAGACGTGGTGCTTTGAGTAACCAACTCGATTGCTTTACGATCTTCGATCTTCTCCCGTGACCCCGATTCCCAGACGTAACACTGACGTGAATTGTTGTCTACAACTTTGGCAGCTTGCAGACAGTTCTCGCCACAATTATATCTATTTTGTATAAGTATCATGCATAAATGTGTATGTATATATGTGTATATTTTAAATAGTTTTTCGGTTACTCCTATTACTACCACTACTACTTATCCCTAGTTCTTCTATTCATGGATCGAATTGGTTAATGCCTACAAGTGCTACAACACCTGGTTATAATAATAATAATCATAATCATAATAATAATAACAGTCCACGTTTTCATCATTTTAATCCTGATGATATAACAACTGTACGTGTATTAACTAGTTCAACTGGTGGTGGCGTTAGCGGAATCGGTGGTATGGATACCGGGCAATACTTTCCAGCATCATCATTAACTGCATCATCCACTGGTGGTGGTGGTGGTGGCGGTGGTGGGCATTTCCCTCGTCAATGTTTAACTCTCACCTGTAGAGAACGTTCCTCGTCTACACCGAATGTATCAAATAATCTAATTCCACCGAATCAACAACAACAACAACAACAAAGAAATATGTTTACGCCTAGTTCACTTGGAAAGGTAGTCAGTTGGATAGTTTTGTTATTTTTTTTAAAAATTTGTTTTGATATATGCATCCTTATAAAACACAAAATGATTGAGCAAAGAATATTCTTTTCGATAATTTCCTCCTCTTCTGGCTCTACAATTATATATATGCATGTTTATATACGTAGAATAATCAAGAATAGTAGTCAATAACAATATTAGTGTTTTTTAAATAATACAGATTTGTTAAGTAAGATCAGTGGGATTACAGTTCATTAAAGATGCTTAAATTATAATAATAATAATAATAATAAAGATATAGCTACCCTATATGGGGCATCAAATTATTATTATTATTGCATCCTTTAATTCCTAAAGGAACATAGGGCTGCAGCCACACGTCTCCATTGCGTTCGGTTCTCTGCCAGAGTCTTCACCTGCCTCCAAGTCTGCCCACACGTTTTCATCTCCTCTTCACATGACCTCCTTCAAGTCACCCTTGCACTGACGACCAACTCGCCGCTTCCCGTTCGGGTTCCACTCGAGCAATGGCTTGTCTAGTTATGTCACTTGATGGTTTCCTTAGAGTATGGCCAATCCATCTCCATTTCTTCCTCTCTATTTGTTTTACAATCGGTTCCTGGTTGGTTCGCTCCTAGAGATCGATCTCTGTTGCTGATCTTTTCTGGCCATTTGATCTTGAGTATTGAGCGAAGACAGCTGCTAATGAAGGTCTGTAGTTTGTTTGAGATTCTCTTTATGACGCGCCAAGTCTCTGATGCGTATAGTAGCACTGACTTCACATTGGAGTTGAAAATCCGGATCTTATTTTTGATGCTGAGTGCTGTTGACCAATATATCTACCTAAGCCCTTCGAACATGCAAAAAATGACGTCACATCCCACTGTATTTACCAATTTGAAAGTACGTGTGGACACACATACGTAGGGAGGACTCATCGATCTCTGCGAGTAACGGCTTCAGAGCATATTCCTGAAACAAATGGAATCTTCAGAACCTATTAATGGTGAGAACAGGAGACCTAGCCTGCTGCGGAACCCAAGAGAACAATAATACTAATATTAATAAAATATTTTGATTTCTATTGTCTCTAAAATTACTCCTGACTCCTATTCCAGTGGCTAGCTTATCCATAATGGAGTTATGCTCTACCACAGTGCCCAAGATTTGTACTTATATCCTGAGGATATCACATACAAATTAATCTCAGTAAGAAGTTTGTGTGTCGTAGAATGAAACAAATTATTTATAGATATATTTCAATACATTACACATAATGACAAGGTTTTCGTTTTGATAGTATTTCGAACAAAAGTGATGTCACATCCGACTGTATTTACCAATTTGAATGTACGTGTGGACACACATACATACATAGGGAGGACCCATCGATCTCTGCAAGTAAGCGCTGGCTTCAGAGCATATTCCTGAATGGCTCCAGAAACAAATGGAATCTTCAGAACCCATTAATGGTGACAACAGGAGACCTAGCTCTTCTATTGCGAAACACATTATAGAGACAGGACATAAAATTGACGTTAACAGATCTTTTAAACCTATCTATAAAACGTGTTTGGGGCGTTCCTAAAGTTTGTGAAAGCCCTAGCAATTAGAAAGTTTAAGCCACCTTTATGCGTTCAAAAACAATTCGTCATCACATTAAACGTTCCTTAGTAAATTCTGTTTTGATACCAAAGCAGATGTACTGTTACCTCTGCTATTTGGTTTAGTGGTCTTCATTGTTATGTTGACCTTGAATATGTCCTTTTAACTTGACCTCAATCCGTTTTTCTCACCTATTAACTCTTTATCAATATCATATATATATATACCTTTGACAAATACGTGTGTGCTGGATCAGATTGTTCGAAATGTGTGGCGCAAATACGTTACACGATTCAGACAAATTACGTCTTCTTATTGCTTTATCTAAATTCATAAAGGGAACTAATTGTTTTAAAAGATATAGTAGCAAATAGAATATCAACTAAAATTAGGAAAATTCCACAAAAAATTGAGGATCATTCAAACCTAGATGGCCAAAGGGGTAAGGATAATGTCTGAACTAACTTCCTTTGAACGCACAAATTAGGCTTCTTAATTAATATGGATCCCAACAGCCTCAGAAATATTTAGTAGTTGAACTCTTAAGGCAAAATTGGGATTCGTTGGTATGCGGTAAATGACCCTGAAAGCATGGTTAACGTCAATCTTGTGTTCCATATCCACAAGATGAGAAATAATAGCTCTGTGAATTGATTTTGTTTGTCCTTTACTTAACGACACAGGGTGATGTTTGGAAATTCGACGAGAAACACGTCTAATTGTACGGTCTATGTAACTGACTCCACAGGAGCTGAAGCTGTTGGGATCCATATTAATTAAGAAGCCTAAATTGTGCATCCAAAGGAAGTTAGTTCAGACATTATCCTTACCTTGGCCATCCAGGTTTGAGTGATCCTCAATTTGTTGTGGAATTTCCCTAATTTTAGTTGATATTCTATTTGCTATTATATATTTATTATTATTATTATAATTTAAGCATCTTTACTGAACTGTAATTCCATTGCTCTTATTTTTACAAATCGACATTATTTAAAAAACACTAATATTATTATTGACTACTGCTATTCTAGAATATTCTATGTATATAAACATGCAATATATAATTGTAGAACCAGAGGAGGAGGAATTTATCGAAAGGAATATTCTTTGCTCGATTATTTTGTGTTTTATAGATGTCTGAATGAATATTTTTGATATATATATCCCTTTGTTATGTAATATTTTATTGGTTAATTAATTAAATATCTTTTTCTATTTTTTAACCCTCTCCCCTTCCCTCCCTATCCCCGATCCTCTTTTAACATGCTGTCTACTCATACATTGGGTACGAATGCCCTAATCTACTACTAATACTACTACTACTAATTATTATTCATATATATGTATATATATACAATCATCGCTTCATTTATCATCCATCCACCCATCCATCTTTGTGTTGTAGATCATACACGTCTTATAATAATAAATCAAGCGTTTATAATAATAATAATATGAAACATTCTAAATCTATCCTATCCCAGTTGATCCTCTCATGCTCGCTGTGTAATACTGCTAGTGCTAGCGCTAGTGGTAGTAGTCGAAGTTGGCATCCTTCACATCCTCCTCCTCACCCTCCTCCTCGTCGTCAACATGGCTGTTGTTGTTATTGTCGAAATCAGAACTACAGTGTGTGCAAGATGACCCCCACGATGAAAAGACGTAGTAGAACGTGTGATAATGCCATAAAATACATCGGTAGTTATGATGATGTTGATTCTCGTGGTGGTAATAATAATAGTAGTATATCCACTTCGTCGATTTCAACGTGTTTATCAGGTTCTCGTAAAATGACGACTTGTCGAAATTCGCCGTCTCTACGTCATCATCATCAGCAGCGTTTACATGGATCTCGGAAAGTGGATAATGGCGTCTATTGCCATCATTGTTATGCTTGTCATCCTTCTGTGAAGAATAATAATAATAACAATAATAATAAAATTAAGCGTCTAATTCAAATGTCTACAGATAATAGAATTATTACTGGCAATCCCAATGCCAATACTACTACTACTCATAAAATTACAGGTAATATAAGTTATGACTTGTTACCTATCAAATCACAGATGATTAGCAACAATAATAGTAGTAGTATTCCAATGCATAGAAGTATATCAGCGTGTATTGAAACTGACCGTGGCAGGTGCGTAAACTCGAAAAATACGCTGCAGCCATATAATAATGATAAAAATAATAAGATATATATGAATTCTGTTGGATGTTTTAACAAACAGAGCAACGGTAATCAGAATGATAACACAGATGTCGGAGTATCTTTTAAAATAGATAAAAGCAACAAGGAAGTACTTCTTGGTGGTTGTGGTGGTGATGGTGATGGTCGTGGGGACAACACTGCATCCGACTTTCTTACTATACCATCTACTTTCATAAGTGTACCAAAATCGATCAATAATAGTAATAATAATAATAATAATAGTCATAGTAGTGATAAAGAAGTGAACTCCAGTGATCAAGCTTCCACATCGTATTCATCATTTTTCAATGAAGGAAATTCTGATACTACAAGCAATAAAATCAATAATAATAATGTATTATTAGTGTCAAGTGGTGATCATCACAGCTTTACTGACTTTTCATCACGTTTAGCGGATAAAAGTATCTTCTTTTACACTGGTGGGGGTGGTGGTGGTGGTGGTGGTAATGCGTCAAAATTACCACTTCCGTATATTTCTTCGGGTGTACGTCGAGTTCATTCGTTCTGTACCTCTGTTATGAGTGGTCATTCAGCAGGAGTAGGTATTTTGTATACGTTATAGTGGGGCGTGGGTAATCTGGTTCGATTTATTTGTTCGGTTGAATGGGATAATTGTACACACACACACTCATTCATTGAGTATTTTTATTTCTGTTTTTTGCCCACCACCCATTTATGTTCTTAACATGATTGCATAATCAATGGTTCAGGTGTTGGTTTACAGGAATTTCATTGATTTCTAGATTGATCACGTACTGAGTTCAGCTAGAGAGATGGACATTGGAAACCAGCTGTACGGGGGAGTACTGGACGGCTGTTTCGTCCTTGTTTGGGTCTCTTCAGTCGTAAGCGCAAGCATATGGACCAACCAGGAGTTTCACTGGATTCCGTTCCAGTAGTTCAATGGTATAGAAAATCACCTTGTAACCTGTAGGTTTATGGGCTTGACGCCTGCAGATTGGGTCACCGCTGGTACGTACTACTGAAGAGTCTCAAAGCAAGGACGAAACAACCGTAGAGGTTTTCAGTGGTTTTCTAACTGAAGTCAATTCGTGTGATCAAACTTGAAATATATATGAAATTCTGTTTATTTCATTTCGTTGTTCACACATGTTCTAATTCATAGTGCACTTACATTCGTGTATATTATTAATTTACGGGGTTTATGGTTTTCTCTGCTTTCATTCTGTCTAGTTTCTTCTTTATGTGTTCATTGTCATGTTTCTCTTATTCTCTTATCTTTTTGAATTATAAGCGAGAAGCGAACAAGATTATTCAAGGATCCCCGTTGCATATCGTATATCCGGTTGCAAGTAGTAAGTCTTTACTGTTTTCCACAGCTTTGTTAGTTATGGTTTTAGTATTTAAATCTCATATTCATTACACTCACCGAATGCTATTTTATTACATTCATGTAATATTAGTAGTGTTCTCTGAACTGCTGGTTGGTTGGTTTACTTGCGGAGCTTTCGTCATCCGCCTTTCTGGACAACATCTTCAGCTGGCTGGTGTACTCCCTCCTGGTTTTCCAGTAGTTCTCTAACTGATATCAATGCATGGCGACAACTAAAATAAGTAATATCACCAAATAAAAATGGGTGAGAACATGTGTCATGCATTGCAACCCATTATGATCACTATTATTAATGAATTTAACGGGACAGGTTTATCTGCAAAATGCAATCAGCATACAGAGTAAACAGTGTCTCATCCCTTCCTAATTGTGTAAAATTAAAAATAGGTAGGGTGAGAAGAAAATCTACAATGTCCACGGCTGTCCGACTGATTGGCTTTCTGTGTAGATCTTTGCGGAGGATTTCACCAGTTCGAGCTGCAACACTCCATATGGCAGAGAAACTTAGATAAAAAACATATTATTATTGTTTCCTTTAATTCCTAGGAATTCAGCGGCGCGTCTCCATTGCATTCGGTTCTCTGCTAGATTTTTCACCTGGCTCCAAGTCTGCCCACACGTTTTCATTTCCTCTTCACATCACCATCTCCTCCAAGTCACCCTTGCACTGACGACCAACTCACCGATTCCCTTTCGGGTTCCACTCGAGCAATGGCTTGTCTAGTGATGTCACTTGATGGTTTCCTCAGAGTGTGGCCAATCCACCTAACTCCATTTCTTCCTGTTTATTTGTTTCACAATCGGTCCCTGGTTGGTTCGCTCCCAGAGATCGATCTCTGTTGCTGATCTTTTCTGGCCATCTGATCTTGAGTATTGAGCGAAGACAACTGTTAATGAAGGTCTGCAGTTTGTTTGAGATGCTCTTTATGACGCGCAGTGCAAGTCTCTGATTCGTATAGTAGCACTGACTGACTTCACATTGGAGTTGAAAATCCGGATCTTATTTTTGATGCTGAGTGCTGTTGACCTCCATAAAGACTTGAGAGTAGTGAAAGCTTGTCTTGCTTTTCCGATTCTTGCTTTGATATCCTCGTCAGTTCCCCCTGTAGTTGTAGATAAAAAACATAAGCATAATTTAACAGAACTGCAGTAAACGAAAGGCGTCGGTGGCACAGCGATAGAGTGCTCGCCAACCACTCAGGTGGTCCGGTAGTCGATGCACGGCCGTGGACTCACTCCTTTACATCGCTAAGTCAGTAGTAAGAGTGGTAAACAGGGAAGGTTTGGGATGAGGCTAGCAGCGACCCCATCCTGTAAAAATAATCACCACTGCTACAGAAATTTCAAGCCTCTAGCTTGAAGGCGCCTTATGTTCCACTGGGAACGTAAAGGAATAGAAACAAAAGAAAACAGTAAACGAAAATATTCAGGAAGAGGAATGGTCACTTAGAAATACTTGAGGGTATAATAGATCTGGGAGGTTATAAATAATGAATTCATCTGGGCCAATATCATCAGTAGTTTTGTGTTATTGATTTTGAGAACTCCGACAATCCCAACCAGACAGTCTGTTAAAGACTCGATGGATTGATTTCAGGTTTATGTTTGACCACCTCTAACTCCTTCATTGATTGATGAAGAGGGAGGTGGCTTGACTTGCGTACCAGGTGCTCCAGCCACTATAATCGATGTAGCCTGAGAACGTCATCGATTAGTTCCCCTTTCTTAAATAACAAACAGTCTACACCTAGCAACAATATTTCTCACCATATTATGTCACTTAATGCGGGAGATAGAAGAGTTCGTATCAGTGAGTATTAGCAAAACAAAACTTCTGTTCAACATTCTGTGGTGATTTATCTAGCTCATAGTATAACCAAAAGTTTATTTCCCGATACGAATTTAAAACAAGCAACAAAGGTTAATGAAACAAAATTTAATGAATTCATTTAATTTTGGCAGGACTCTTGAGTTGAATACTCTACATACAGGGATATATATTGGATCGTTTCGCAATTATTTGTGCTCTCTGAGCTGGTTGGTTTACTTACGAAGCTTTCGTCGCCCGCCTTTCTGGACAACATCCCCCTTCAGCGCAAGTTTTAGCATAAAGTAGTGAACTGATTTAAATTCCCCATGAATGATAGAATTGCGTTCCCTGGTAACCACTTTTACATCTGCATTGATCATTTTTTTGTTGACCTGGATTTTAAACTTTCTCGTCACATGATCTACTTTTTATTAGTTGGTAGATTTGGTCTATGTATTAACGTGTTTGTTAATCGCATATTCGTTTGAGTACACCAAGCTTCTAGGAATTCCCTGACTGCACTTTTGGCGTTTCCTCTGTCTAAAATTTTGCCATTATCCCAAACATCAAACTGATATCCATAATTATCTACATGCACTGATATGAAACAGGAATATATATCATGTCTTTTCACAGTTAATTTGTGTTCTTCAATTCTGAATCGAAGGTGACACCCACTTCGGCCTACGTAATATCTGTTACAGTTCATACATGCAGTTTATTTTGTAAATGGTATTAATTTTATCTTCTTTTTCTGTTGGATCTTTCGGTCTGCACAATATCGGATTAATTGATTTGACTGGCTTGTGTGCGATTAACCACACATGTTAATATAGAGCAAATGTACCAACTATTATAGGAAGTATATCATGTGATGAGAAAGTTTAAAATCCAAGTCAATAAAAAATGATCAATACAGATGTAAAGATGGTTACCAGGAGACTTAATTCTGTTACTTATAGAAAATTCAAATCAGTTCAGTCACTTTATGCTAAAAATTGCGCTGAAGATGTTGTCCAAAAGGATGACGAAAGCTCAGCAACTAAACCAACCAGTTCAGAGATGGATCAGACATACACTGAGGAGACCGTCGAATGACATCGCTCTCCTGAAGTGGTATAATAAGGTGAGCAATATTGAGGTTAGGCATCGGTCGAGTGTTAGGTAAGGAGGGGAAATCAGTCGACGAGACTGTGAAATTACTTCGACTGAAATAGTTAGGACATGTGCTGCGTATGCCTAGTCATCGCCTTCCTCGACGGGAAATGTTAGCTGACATAAGGTCAGGCTGGAAAAGAGCTAGAGGCGGTCAAACGAAAACATGCCACCAGTCAATGAAATCCACAACAGTTAGTCTAAGCCACGTAGGAAGGTGTAGACTTCCTGGTTGGGGTCCTCGGGACGGTAAAAACCGATGGTTAGAAACAATTGGTGATATAGCTCAAAATCGTTCTCAATGGTGCAGATGCATGCACTCCTTGTGACTTATGATTTCCAATGAAACTGTTTTGTTCTTCGTTATTACTATTCCTTTGTCTCACACCTCTGTTAACTGTCTATATTATGCATTTCTCCTACTTTCTTCTCTTGCTTTGTGTGCTACGTGGAGTGTGGCGACTTGAACTGCCGCACATTGGTGCAAAAATCTATGTCGAAAACCGACCGACCGACATCGCTCGCCAGACCAAGCCATATCATCAGTCGAGCAGAATGCGAATAGGAATCACAGTAACGAGTTGGTCTTGTGTGTCCGTGGGTGACATGGGGGAGATGATGTGAGTTTGAAGGAGATGAGAGACTATAGGCAACCTTTGGGGCCAGCTTAAGAGGACCGCAGGGAATAGGAAAAAGTGGAGGCGTGTTGTTGAAGGCCTATTTTCCACCCGGAACCCAAAGGAATAAGAAAACATTGTCCTGGGTATTAACCTCGGTGGGTGCGTATTGCTGAAGAGTCCCAAACTAGGCTGATAAAACAGTTGTCTAGCAGTACTCCTAGTTGGTTTTCCAATGGTTCTCTAACTAGTGTCAGCTCATGATGAAATCCTGTAACCAATCAACCAAATCCAGACAAACCAATACTTGAATATTAATGAGATGCTCACTGGCGACTTGCCCTATTCTGGTAGGTAGTTACCTGGAGTTCAAGTGGAAAGTCGTGACTAATAGGGTGCAGCAAGTCAGGTGTGAGGACAATTACTCGCCGAAGACATTGGCTAGCGGTTGCGCGAATTGGCGTGAATTGACAGAAGTTAGAATTCATGCACCGGCTGGCCATTGGATCGGGTCCCAGTGGTGTAATGGTTTACGAGCTCGCCTTGTAACCAGAAGGTCCTGGGTTCGAACCCTGGTGAAGAGTCATATACTAGGCTGGCAAAACAGTTGTCTGGCAGTATTCCCAGTTGGTTTTCCAATGTTTCCCTAACCAATGTCAGCTCATGATGAAATCCTGTAACCTATCAATAATTGTTCACTAGATTGTATGATCATGTTTTATCTAGGAGCTCAAAGATCTAATCTTGTGTAGAACGATTTTCGAAAATGGTGCATAACTAACTATCTGGTACAGTTTAGAAAGCATCATGTTTCAACCAACTAGTTGTGCTATGGTCATTATGACTATTATGTGCTCATTCTCATACATCTTACGTACTTATTTGCTCCTAGAATGTATAATACTCGTTAAGTAGACAGGTGTTTTTAAATTAATTGTTTGCATGGTACCCATAGGTAAATTCCAGCATGTGCATTTCGTCCTGTTTGGAACTTATCAGCCAGATATGCTTTTGCTCCCCAGTAATTAATAAATAAGATTTATAACCCAAGCGGATGATTTTGATTTGGTTGTGTTCTGTGCGCTGATTGATTTAATGGAGAGGCTTTCTTTGTCCCACTTGTAGACAGCATCTTAAGTGAACACTTTTCAATATTAAGTGAAGTTGTGTGAATTCTCCATGGGAATGATGTGACTGTATTTTCTGACAAACATTGTTGTGTTGAATTGAATTTTAGATTTTCCCGTAGATTTATTGGATCGAAGTGCTCGATCTCAGGTTGACATGTCGGCTTCTTGTGCAGATGTTTTGACGATGTCTGAGCATGTAATTAGAATTAAATTAGTGGATGGTGACTAGCATTGGAATCCAGGATAAAGCGCATTTCGTCCCATTTGAGACTCGTCATCTGGATGTACCCGCATTTCCCAGTGGGTGATGATGTTCCCACTATAAGCACTGGGTTTGAGCCTCGGTGGGAACATCATCACTCACTGGGAAATGTAGGTACATCCAGATGACGAGTCTTGACCGATAGCTGCTACCTTGACGTGGTGGTGGGGCTTGCACATTGCGATGATCCAACAAGCTGCACTGGCTGGAACCAATGTTCTTGCAGGTCCTACCATGCCAGGAAGGTTGCTAGCATAACGATTAGACTAAAAGCAGTTACCGGCATTGTGTAAGAGTCTTTCTTACACTATGCTGGGGGGTCTGAGGGCGAAGTCGTACTGCTGGGGAACAGGGGTATAACAGCAGTGAGGTGTTTCCCTCAGATGGCCAGGATGCCAGCTATGCTGTCTCTCCACTCCGGAGGGAGGGGGTTAGAAAAGGTCGACCCCAAAAATTGTGCATCCCGACTTCCCCCACGGTGGTCCGTAACCGGCGGTAAGTTTACTAATACGGAACCACTCCCAGAAATCGGTCCATACAGGCCATGTGTGACCGGCCTTAAGCAGTTGTCCCGTGGGCTCTGTGGTCACGCAACACTAACTCTCTTTCTATTTCAGGTACACGAATAATCAATCAACTTCCACGGTGTGGGCAGCCGGGAAGTAACAACCACCCACACACTTCCAAAAGCACACGAAGCTTTCCTGAGCATCATTCTCCTTCTCCCGAATAGGACGAAATGCGCATCTTGGATTCTGCTGCTAGTCACCACCCACCAATTAAATTCAAACATTGTTGTGATTGATTGTGAATTTACATCTCTACTGATGATTTTTATTCACGTGAAATCTGAAATTTCTCCTCATGTGATTTACTTTCTATTCTTTTGTTAGTTTTGGTCCATAGTAATGTGTCTGTTTGGGTGTAATAGCAGGGCTTCTAGAAATTTTCTGACTGCATATTTGGTATTTCCGCTGTTTAAGAAATTTCTATATATTCAAGTATTGGTTCGTAGCTATTCGATTAATTGGTTGGCGGATTTCATCATGAGCTGACATCAGTTAGAGAACGATTGGAAAACCTGCATGGAGTACTGGACAGCTGTTTCGTCCTAGTTTGGGATTCTTCATCAGTGCGCACACACCGCCAGGGTTCGAATCCAGGACCTTCTGGTTACAAGGTGAGCTAGCTCGTAGAACATTGAGCCGCTAGGACTCGATCCAATGGCCCAGGAATTCTAACTTCTGCCAATTCACTATATAGCGTGACCTCTAGCCAATGTCTTCGGCGAGTATTTGTCGTCACACCCGACCTGCCTCACTCCACTTCCAATCAAGTTCATTTCCGTGACTGTCCACATGCATTGATTTGAAAGAATACAATATATCGTGTCTTTTTACAGATATTTTATCATTTTGGACTCCTAGTCGAAGGGGAGCCCACTTTGACCTATCTAGTGTTCATCGCAGTTTATACAATTTTGTAAATGTTATTGATCGTGCCTTCGTTTGCTGTTGGATCTGTCAGTCTGCACAGTATTGAGTGAAGTGATTGTGTTAACTAGTTTGCTATGTCTACTTCAAATGTTCCCAGTACTTTAGTTGGTATTTCAGAAATATTCGTCGTATACACACATATATGACTGAATGAATTTTCTTGTGGTCTTTGAGCATAGATGGTTTCTTGTTGGTGTTTTTGGATTTGAGTTTTAACGCTTTTTGATGATATAGAAGAAAAAAAATTTCCCATTTAGACATTTAGAAAGCAAAATGATTGAGCGAAGAAATATTTACTTTTAAATTGGTGGAGGATCTAATTGAAAGGTAAATATTTCTTCACTCAATCCTTTTACTTCTTGATGAAATTGTATCGTTGGGTATTCATTCTTCTTGTAGAGATGGCTAATCTGTCTGTCTGTTTGAATTCAACATAAAACTTGGCACTGAAGTGCAGCAGTTCCAGTTGCCATGTTCCGAATAGCACACAAATGTAGAGAAGAATATAGGTGAAGAGAATCAATAGAGTTTTGACAAGTATAAGAGTGAAACAGAATGAGTAATGGTAAAAAGGAATATGAAAGATTACACAAGAGACTGAATACATCTGCGTAGGCCATTGACAACGATTTTGAGTCATGTCACATATGGTCTCCAGCCATTGATTCTTAGAGTCCCGAGAGCCCCAACCCGGAAGTCTGCATCTCCCTCCCTAACTGACTCAATTTAACTGTCAAGGATTTCATGGATTGATGTCATGTTTTTGTTTGGCCACCGCTTACTCTTTTCCAACCTGCACCTATATCAGCTAGTAATTCTCGTCGGGGGAGGCGATGGTTAGGCATACGCAGCACGTGACCTAGCCATCTCAATCTATGTAACTTTATAGCCTCTTCGATTGATTTTCCCTCTTTGCCCAACAGTCTACGCCTAACGTCAAGATTACTTACCTTATTATGCCACCTAACGTGAGAAAGAGATCGTAAACATCTATGATCAAAAACAGTCAACCTTTTCATGTCTTCAACTCGTATTGGCCATGTTTCAGAGCCATAGAGAAGGACGGAGCGAACTGCTGAGCAGTACACACGTCCCTTGGTTGATAGTCGGATGTCATGCCTACGCCAGAGATGGCGTAAGTTAGCGAAAGCAGCACGAGCTTTTTGGATCCATGCTGAGTAGACGGCTAGTAGTGATAGTGTTCTCAATGAATCTCGACCTTGCATAATCATCGCTTAAAAGGTCAGAGTTGTGTAACCCCACTGGACGTCACCATTGGACCAAGTAACTTCGAGTTATCACTCCTGATTGTGTTAAAGTTTTCATTCAAGCGGACTTTATACCAAAATGTGGTTGGGATCATTTCAGCCAGATATACACCGTCTATCAATTAGTTCTGTTAAATGTGTTTGTATGTTTTTTCTCTCTCTCTTTCCTTTTCCCCCTTATCATAGATCATAACAATTGTACAACTGGTCTGCCAGATAGTCCATCAGTTGTTAGTGATGGTTATTTTATGTCAAATCTAGGATTATCACATAATCAAAGATCTGGGAGTGATCCAAAGCAGTCTGTGAAAGCGAGAAACGTAAGTTCTTCCTGACTTCTGATTTTATATGTATTTATGTATATGACTGGTTTCAACATAGAACTTTGCACCGTAGTGCAGCAGTTCCAGTCGCCAGACTCCATGTAGCACACAAAGCAAGAGAATAAAGTAAAAAGGAATGCAAAATAGATATGTGTAAAACTTGGGCACTGTGGTAGTAAGTAATTCCATATTAGTTTGTTTATTACATGTATCACACAGTGAAACAGTATTATTTACTGGATGACGTTTCGAACAAAATTTATTGTTCACAATCATATCAGTTAAAATCACACGAAGTCGTGTGATGAATGTGTAATACATGTCCTAACCATCTCAAACGATGTAACTTCACATCCTCGTCGATTGATTTCCCTTCTTTACTTAGCACTCGGCGCCTAACCCCAATATTGCTCACCATATTATACCATTTCACACGACTGATACTATACGGATCAGAGACTTGGCGCGTCATAAAGAGCATTTCCAACAAACTACAGACCTTCATTAACAGTTTTCTTCGCTCAATACTCAAGATCAGATGGCCGGCCAGAAAAGATCAGCAACAGGGATCTTTGGGAAAGAACCAACCAGGAACCGATTGTGATTCAAATAGGCAGGAAGAAATGGAGATGGATTGGCCATACTCTGAGGAAACCATCAAGCGACATCACTAGACAAGCCCTTGAGTGGAACCCGAAAGGGAAGCGGCGAGTTGGTCGTCAGTGCAAGGGTGACTTGGAGGAGGTCATGTGAAGAGGAGATGAAAACGTGTGGGCAGACTTGGAGCCAGGTGAAGACTCTAGCAGAGAACCGAACACAATGGAGACGCACGGCTGAAGCCCTATGTTCCTGTAGGAATTAAAGGATACAATCGTAATAATAATAATAATAATAATAATAATACACGACTGATAGAACGCGGACACCCATAACCAAAGAAAGCTAGCCGGCCTTTTTATGCCTTCCACTCTCTATGGTCAGGTCTCACAGCCGTGAAGGAGGAGGGGCGGACTGCTCAGCAATACACACGCCCTTCGCTCGATAGTCGGATATCATGCCTACGCCAGAGATGGCGTAAACTTGCTGAGATTTAGTCAGCGATCAACCAGCTGTTACTAACTGATGCTACTTCCCAAATAAGTGAAGTGGTCAACGTGCTCTACCACTTCACTCCCTATTTCTAAGCTTGGAGTCAATGTAGTCCAGTTCAGTCCAGTTCTGTGACATCATATTACATTTTTTTGGCGGGAGCAAATAGCATGGCAAACATCCGTAGATTGTAGCTCAAGGTGTTCAGAAGACTTTGCTGCCTTTTGTTAGCGTCTTCGTTTAGGAGGGAGGACTATATCATCTGTATATTCTAAGTCAACGAGATTATTATTCCCTGGTAACAAGTCAATCCCTTGGGTCGCTGAAGTCACTTAGGGTCAAGTCCATTAATACATCTTTGATGAAATTGAATATATATATATATATATATATATGTATATGTATATATATAATAGAGAAAGCTTCGCAACCAAACCAACCAGCTCAGAGAACACTATTAATTGCATATATGTATATATATACATATATATATATATATATATATATATATATATTACTGATAGGAAGACAAACATATAAGAAACAAAGTAGAATTGTATTGATGTTTTACTTGTCATGATTTGTAGCATCCAAGAAGTTTTGTTGTACACTTCGTCATGAACCGATATCAAGTAGACAATCATTGAAAGACACTGGAAAACTGTTTTTTTCTAGATTGGGACTCTTCAGTAGCTCATCCCCAGGACCAATCGGTTACAAAACTAACCTCGTTGAGTATTCAGTGAATTGGGCTGGAATTCAATGACTTGTGAATTCTAACTTTGTCAAAATTAAATAAATAACTGACTGACTGATTTGTTGGGGTAGAACTTCGCAGAAAAGCGCAACATTTTAAGCCTCTACACTTTGAATTAGGTCAATATAGAAAAAGCCGAAATACCAGAGACTAGGAAGTGGTACTTTTTTATTGATGAGTAGGATACTGATATGATGATCGATATCCAGTCTAGAAATAACCCAATCAGAATTGGCCTGCCAAAGTGATCGATGTCTAGTCTGGAAATAGCCAATCAGAATCGACCTATGTAAGTGATCGATGTCCAGTCTTCAAACAGCCAATCAGAATCGGCCTACTTAAAAAATAACGCTCACTATTTTATTGTTCATGATTATAGACTAATTAACAGATCCTTGGTGATTTTTTGAATGATACGTTATTGTGTAAGTGTACGGTGACTTTCCGTCTCGTCTTTGGCGTGTTCTCGCTTAAGTTGAGCGGGTTGAGAGACCGGTTAACCGTCTTATACATTGTTGGTGTAGAAATACGCTACTCATGATTATATATATATATATATATATATATATATATATATATATATACAGGTGTGAGAAATGAAAACCAATGAGGTTTCCAGAATCCCGAACTACATTATAACAGCGATAAAGTAACTTTATTTTGTAGATCTTCAGGTAGTCATTCCACTATGGATAGCCTAAAAACCTACGGTCTTCTTGCGTAACCCAAACTAACAGCCAATGATATCATGGAATACTGTGTCGTATTTCTTCGGCTGGCGACTACTTACTTTCTTGTAACTTGACCTGACCTCTTCGGGCATGCAATATATTGGAGTGGAAGATAATGTGAGTGTACGTATATATATCCCAGATAACTCATTCGTTGAAGAATTAAATAGTGTACACCTGTCGGTTATGTATTTTCCCGCCTAATCCAAGAAATGCTGATGCGAAAACGCTTTGAAAACACCTTTCTTTGGACGCTGAAACTGATGTTGTCTTCTGTAAACAGATTTAATCTGTAAAGTTAGACGGCTGACGGCTAGGCAACAAATCAACTCATAGATAAATGGTCGAAAATATATCCAGCATTATAAAAAATAGTGTGGTTTTGTGTCACACAAGTTGCCAGCGTTTTTGTCAATTTCGCGATCTCGATTGGGCAGAGTTTTTTTTGTTTTACTCCCTCCCCATAAACGACCTGGATAGACTTCTGCCTTCCTCTAAGAACGCTTTCACATATGGCCAGGCATTTATAGCCTCTCTTAGGTAAGTCCCATGCCCTGCCTTCACACGATGGGGATGATCCACACAAAAGTAAAAGGTCGGATGCAAATGTCTGGCACTTACAACTGGAGGGGTTGACGTGCAGGTGTTATACACTGGGGGAGGGGCGGGGCGAGCTGGGAAACTTTGATTCCAAACCTATTGTACGTGTACATGGGTTCCAAAACCCGAAAGGGTAGAACGGTTTATGGGGACCTGTTTTGGTCACTTGCCTACAATACTCCAAACCTGAAAGGATGAAACTTTTAGGCGTATTTATTCGGAAACTTGTAAACTAGTATTACATCTAAACTAATATTTTAGAATCACTAGATAATAACTGTGCTAAAATCAAGCATCAGTAGCTGACTGGTGGACTCAGTTTCAACGTTGAACTTTGCACCGAAGTGATGTGCCACCAAGTAACCACATTCTATGTAGCACACAAAGGTAGAGAAAACATGAGAAAGAAAACAAATATATTCAAAAGAACGATAATGAGCAGTAATGTACTCAGGGAAGGGAATGGTGACACGGAAGAACTTGGGCGGGGAGTAGGCGTTTAATGAATCTGGGAGATCACGAAGATTGATTGCATTCGGGCCATGAAGAATGATTCTTAACCATACTCTACCAGTAGTCTCCAGGCATTGATTCTTAGAATCCTGATGACTGCAACCACGCAGTGTGTCTACAACCTACCCACATCACTGGCTCAAACTAACTGTGAAACATTTCATGGATTAATAGCAGGGTTTCGTGTCAACACCCTTAACCCTTTTCCAACCTAATCCTATGTCATTAACACCGTTACTGGTCGTGCAAGGCGATGGTTAAGTGGTCAACACGCTCTACCAAGTGGAGAGAGAGAGAGGTTGATTACTAAATCTTTGTTCATAGAATCTTCACCGAACGCACTCATCACTCATACCGGAAATATGGAAAATACTATCACTACGTATCAAGTGATGAAAAATTATGTAATTATATTAACGAAATTAGAAAGTTGTGTGAGTAGTGCCTTGATATGATTGAGGCGCAATAATAAATTGTGCTCGAAACGTGGTTACATCAGTAAATATTACTGTATAACAACACTGTGAGATTTTATAAAAATAAATTTCACCCACAAGGTTAAGATACATTAAATCAAATAGTAACCTTTCTAGCAATAATTAACCTCCTTTCTTTGCCTCTTTTGCCTTCCTTTGTGTGTGTGTGTGTGTGTGCGCTGTATGGAGTGTGGCATTTGAACTGGTGCACTTCTGTGCAAAGGTCTATGTTGAAACCAGTCAGTTAGTCGGTCAATGAGACCACCCTGTCACCTATTTCCTACGTAGTCCTTTTTCAACCAACATTGTTGTTCATTGTCACAAAAAATATATTTAGCTGACTATAAATATTCAAATAAGTCATGAAATTCATACTTGCATTCACACTCAGCATGAAAAATAAGGCCCAGATTTTCAACTTCAGTGTGAAGTCATCGCTACTGTACGGATCAGGGACTTGGTCAGCGCTTCACAGAGAGGGGCTTCGAACAAACTACCGACCTTCATCAATAGCTGTCTCCGCTCAATACTCGAGATCAGATGGCCAGCCAGAAATGATCAGCAACAGGAACTCCAGCCAGGCCATCGCTCGAGTAGAACCTGAACGGGAAGCGGCGAGTTGGTCGTCCAAGGGTGATTTGGAGGAGGTCATGTGAAGAGGAGATGATGGTAGCATATGGGCAGACATGGAATCAGGTTAAAACGTTGTCAGAGAACCGAACGCATTGGAGACGTGCGGCTGAGGCCCAATGTTCCTCTAGGAACTAAAGGAAACAATAATAATAGTAATACTTGCATTCAAAATTCTACTCTACATACCATACATAATCGTCTTCTTTAAACTCTAATGATTACTACTCATTGTTGACGAAGTTAAAAATTAGTGTTAGAATTTATCATCCAATCACACTCTATCATTTTATCCAAAGGATTTTAGGATTTCCTAAGGTTCTGTGTTTATTATTATTATTATTGTTCCCTTTAGTTCCTAAAGGAACATAGAGCTTCAACCTCACGTCTCCACTGCTTTCAGTACTCCGCCAACGTTTTCACCTGGCTCCGCGTCTGCCCACATGCTTTCATCTCCTCGTCGCGCATGTCCTCATCCATGTCACCCTCGCACTGACAACCCTTTAACTCGCCACTTCCCGCTGGTGTTCCACTTGAGCAATGGCCTAGCTTGTAATGTCACTTGATGATGGTGATGATTTTCTCAGAGTATGGCGAATCCACCTCCATTTCTGTCTTTAGCAAGGGTTTTTTGCTGTATGGATTCTAGACATCATTGTCAACGTCAGAACTAAATAAGAGATTTACACTACCAGGAAGTAATTCAAACACATGGTTAACTCCAGGCGGTTGTGTACACTGACGTTCAACAACCCATTTGTTCCTCTTTAACAGAGATAAGTTCAGGTGATGGATTGCATTACATGTTGTATTTCTTTATTTAAAGTAAAACAGTACTAGAATTTAATTGGTGGATAGTGACTAGCAATGGAATCCAGGATAAAGCGCATTTCGTCCTTTTTGGGACTCGTCAGCCACTGGGTGTACCTGTATTCCCCAGTGAGTGATGATGTTCTCTGGGGCAATGCAGGTACATCCAGTCCGAAGTAGGACGAAATGCGCATCCTGGATTCCACTGCTAGTCACCAACCACCAATTAAATTCCAATTACATGCCCAGACATCGTCGAAGCATCTGCACAAGAAGCCGACATGTCAGCCTGAGACCGAGCACTTCAGTTCAATCAATCGACGGGAAAAATCTAAAGTTCAGTTTAAACAATGCTATTTTGAAACAATTGGATAAGATGTATAGCTTAGGTGAATGTACTAAGTATTACGTTCTCTGAGCTAAGTTGTGAAGTTACGAACGTTTCGTTATCTTTCTAGATGATATATTTCAGTGCTGTTTTCATATCACAATTTGTGTGTGTGTGTATGAGTTTATTTATTCTTTTCACCCCGTAGTTTTTATACTAGATTTTTTTCTACTCTCACTCATCATTTTAGAGACGTAGTTCAAATGATGAATGGGAAATCAATGGACAAGAGATAACTAAAGGTCCACGTATTGGTTCAGGATCCTTTGGAACTGTATTCAAAGGCTATTGGCACGGGAATGTGGCTATCAAAGAATTGAATGTTGTCGATCCTACACCGCAACAGCTAAAAGCTTTCAAAAATGAAGTCAGTGTATTAAGGTAATACAGAAGTGTACAGTTATATATTTCTCTCTCTCTTTCACTTTGTCACTTGATTTTCCACCGGTCGACATACTTTTCAGTTCCTTCTGAAGTCATTTCGACCTAAGAAAAAGAACCCTCACATATCATGTGTAACTTCTTATACTGAATGTAGAGCTGTATCAGGTTGTTGATTGATTGAGTTCCTGTCTGTCTGTCTTTTTTCGACATAGAACTTCGCACCGATGTGCGGCAGTTCAAGTCGCCACACTCCCTCCTCGTAGCACACAAAGCAAGAGAATAAAGTAAAAAGAAATGCAAACTATAAACAGTTAACAGAGGTGTGAGACAAAGGAGTAGTAATAACGAAGAACGATATAGTTTCATTTGAAATCATAAGTAACAAGGAGTGGATGCATCTGCGCCAGCCATTGAAAACGATTTTGAACCATATCATCAATTGTCTCCAGCCATTGGTTTTTACCGTCCCGAGGACCCCAAACAGGAAGTCTATACCTTCCTACGTGGCTTAAATTCCCTGCCATGATTGAGAATAGTTATCTCTCCCGGTGGTGACAGTAGATAATTGTAAATATCAATTTTATTTGTACTGCTAACTTCATTATGAATTTAATACTGTGTTATTGTTGCATATTTTCTTATGTAATTGTAAAATCTGGAGAAAATTTACCGCAAATACTAAATCGTGTTCTGAAATTATCATAATGTTATCATTTATTTTATTGTTATACACTTGGATTCCGAGTGGAACGTAGTGCTTCAACAGCATATCTCAACTGTCTTCTGTTTTCTACTGCCCTCTACAGCTTACCCCACGATTGCCCATAATCTCTTATCTCCCCCATGTCACCCTCGCTCGCAACGACGACTCACTCGTTGCTTCCCATTGGGATTCCACTCGAGTGATGGCCTGCATTGCGCACAATGTCATTCGACTGCCTCCTTAATGTATGCCTGATCCGTTTCCATTTTCTCCTACATGTTCGTTGATCGATCGGCTCTTGATTGGTTTGTTCATTACCGGAGTTGCTTGTTGCCTATTCTTCCTAGCCGGCCGGCTGGCCATTTGATCTTCAGTATGGAGTCAGTGAAGGTGGCAGCTGTTGTTAAAGGTCTTTTACTTGTTGGAAATCCTTTTCGTGAAACTCAATGCAAGTTTATGACTGACTGACTTTATATTTATGTTAAACAGAATCCGAATCTTGTTGTTTATGCTAGCTCAGTGTAGTGCAGAAGTTTTCCGAAGTGGTTTCAGTTTGGTGAAGGTGTATCTTGCGTTTTCGATTCTGGCTGGCTGGCTTTGACATCTTCATCCATTCTGTCTGTAGTTGAAACGATTCTCGCCGCCTAGTTAAGTGAAGGAAGTAACTTCTGTGAAGTCTCTCTAGTTGATGGTGATTGGTGCTGGTTGTTTTAGTTTTCGGTTGGTTGGTTGTCTTCACCAGCTACGTTCGTCTTCTCTATGTCCACCTGGAGTAGTCTTGTCTTCGTTGCCTTCATTTTCAGCTAGTTTGTTGGTTTTCGCCTGTGAGTCTTCGAGTTTGTGTGACTTTAAACGTAAATAATCTACAAGCGAAATCCAGATTTTGTCGAGTCTTTTTATCACTCCAACGACAATATTCGAATTATATTTTCAGAATTGTTTACGCTTTAAAGACATACTATTCATTAGTGGGTGGATGAGTGAGTAAGTGAGTGAGTAGGTGTCAAGAACTGCACTTATCATCATGTTAATTCGTTTCAATGACCCTGTATACTCATCATATATGTATTCACAAATAAGAGTTGGAAATTCTTAGACTTTCTTTAATTCTCTCTGTCTGGATTCAACGTAGAACTTGGCGCCGAAGTGCCACAGTTCGAGTTGCCACGTTCCAAATACCACACAAAGGTAGACAAGAAAATGAGTGAAGAGAATCAATAGAGTTTTGACAAGTATATGAGTGAAACAGAATGAGTAATGGTAGAAAGGAATATGAAAGATTACAGAGACTGAATACATCTGCGTAAGCCATTGACAACGATTTTGAGCCATGTCACCTATTGTCTCCAGCCATTGATTCTTAGAGTCCCGAGGGCGGGCCCCAACCCGGAAGTCTGCATCTCCCTACCTGACTCATCTTAACTGTCTAGGATTTCATGGATTGATGAGGCCATGTTTTTGTTTGGCCACCACTTACTCTTTTCCAACCTGCACCTATATCAGTTAGTAATGCCCGTCGGGGGAGGCGATGATTGCCACATCCTGATGCTAGTAGTTTGCCCGTGTAGATGTTTATGTAAGTTGTCTCAGTCCATATTGACTTTTAAGCGTGTAAGCGCCAACACCAATTCTTATACTGCCGTTAAATAAAAATAGTATTGTAACGACAGAAGAAAAGGGCAAGGCAACAAATCGTTTATTGAGAAAATCAACAGATATTCATAGATTTTTATGTACATTGTTATTCGTTATTTGTTAGCAGAGAAACAGCGGCTTCTCATTGGTTGTTTTCCTGCTGAAGGTTATTCTCTCATCTCTTTGTTACCGTTTCTTAGACAGTCCATTGATATATCTGCCAATCGCATCTGCCCACGCTAAGTCCGCTGTGATTGGCTGTTGCGTTCCCCAAGGTTAGGCGTTGTTTTTGTTTTTTCTCATGAGACGTAAACATTGACATAAATTTCTGTCTACCAATTTTGGCTAGCAGACAGCTCTCACCACAGTATTACATGTGCAATTTCTAAAATCTCTATTTATTTATTTTTTTTTCCTATCTAGAAAAACTCGTCATGAAAATATTCTCTTATTTATGGGTTGTGTATCAAAACCATGCTTAGCTATTATAACACAATGGTGTGAAGGTTCCAGTCTGTATAAACACTTGCATGTCTTAGAGCATCGTTTCGATATCTCAGAATTAGTGGATATTGCTAGACAAACATCACAAGGAATGGAGTACGTATTATTATTATTATTAAATTATTATTATTCTTTTCTTTTTTTACTTATTATTATTTGAATGAATTCATGCATGTTTTGAGTTTTGTTATAAGTATATATCTTCAATGGGTACAAATTATGGTATGTACTTTACCCCCATCTAAGTGCCCCATGTATTATTATCATTATTATAAGATTGAGAAGAGCTTTCACCTACACTCATTCTTTCAGATGAACTGCCTGAATTTATCTATAGGTTCATGTATCTAGGACAGATGAGGTCTCTAATTGTATAGTGAGAGCACAAGTGGCGTACGCCCACATAAGCCACTTCTAGCACCATCATGACATTATCCTGATCATCAGAGGTCAGTTTCACGATGATTTGTTACTCGCTGTCTTAGTTTACACCTGTAGAACTCGTCCTCTTCGAGTTAAGGATGTACAGTGACTCTGTGTGTTCTATTCTTGGTGGATTCTGTTGAATCACTTGTATTCTATGGCAGCATCATGTAGGTAATTCTGAGATTCCGTAGTGTGTGTTTATACATAGTTGAGGTTATCTTTCAATAATAAAGGATGGTATCTTGATTTGGATAGGGTCCTGCTTCTTTCCGTACCCGCGGAATGGAAGAACTGGTGCGGAATTATGCTTCTGTCCATCTCAAGCAAAATACTAAACCGCATCATCCTGGAGAGAATCAAACACACCGACCTGGATGGAAAACTTCGACCGGAACAGGTTGGATTCAGGAGAAACAAGTCATGTATTGATCAAATCGCCACACTACGAATTATCATTGAACAGAGCTTGGAATGGCAGTCACCTCTCTATCTCAACTTCATCGACTTTAAAAAAGGCCTTTGACAGCGTCGATCGAGAGGTGATTTGGAAACTACTACGCTACTATGGAGTGCCACCGACAATTATGCATCTCAGTCAACAGTTTTACGACAGTGCTGCATTCCAAGTAATCCACAACGGGAAAATCATGGAATCCTTCGAAGAAGTGAAGATGGGAGTAAGATAAGGCTGCTTACTATCTCCAATGATTAATTTCCTGATTGCAGTAGATTGAATAATGCGACAGACAGCGGGCAATGAGGAAACAGGCATAAAATGGACCCGCACAAAAACTTGGAGAATTTGGACTTCGCCGATGATATATGTCTGACTTCCCACAAACTAAAAGATATGGAAGTGACAAGCAACAAGTTGACACAAAAAGCATCAAAGATAGGGCTTCACTTCAGGTGAACATAAAGAAAATGGAGGTGATAAAGATTTCTAGGCAACACCAATAGCGACAACAACAACAGACATCAATCCTCATAAATGGGAGGAACTTGAAAGAAACAACCTCCTTTACCCACCGACCTGGGAAGCATCGTTTTAACTACAGGCGGAACTGACGAGGATATCAAGGCAAGGATCGGGAAAGCAAGACAAGCTTTCATTACTCTCAAGTCTGTGTGGAGGTCAACAGCACTCACCATGAAAAGTAAGATCCGGATATTCAACTCCAATGTGAAGTCAGTACTACTTTATGGATCACAGACTTGGTGAGTCATGAAGAGCACCTCAAACAAACTACAGACCTTCATCAATAGCTGTTTTCGCTCAATACTCAAGATCAGATGGCCAGTCAGAAAAGATCAGCAGTAGGAATCTCTGGGAGCGAACCAACCCAATAGGAACCGATTGTGCAACAAATAAGCAGGAAGAAATGGAGATGGATTGGCCACACTCTCAAGAAACCATCAAGTGACATCACACGCCAGGCCATCGCTCGAGTGGAACCCGAACGGGAAGTGGCGAGTTGGTCGTCCAAGGGTGACTTAGAGGAGGTCCTGTGAAGTGGAGATGAAAACGTGTGGGCAGACTTGGAGCCAAGTGAAAACTTTGGCAGAGAACCGAACGCATTGGAGACGTGCAGCTGAAGCCCTATGTTCCTCTAGGAATTAGAGGAATAAATAATGATAACCTTTCCGTGTGAGAATAAAATTGCCACTTTCCTCCTTAAATACTGTTGCAGTGAATCACTAGATATAATTTACGCTTATGTTCTGTGGCAACTATGCAGATTTATCCATACTGTGGCCTTCAGAGAGAGGGTCGTTGTGCACCATTTACTATACAAACAAGTCAGTTATATATAGCCAATGTTGAACCTACTCCCTACCGTCTTACACAAGGCACAGCAGCCCTAATGCTTCTCTCTCGTCGATTGCAAATAGATAATTCCCCTGAAAATATATATTCATGACATGCTTGAGGATACGTTAGCTCATCTCTAGTCCACTTTTCATACACATCGCGTCACTGAAGTTGTTGGCGGAGAGGGGCAACTACGGTGTCGCGGTAGGATTACTGAGTTTTCTATAGTCTCATATTGGTGGTCAGAAGTGCTACATACAGACTATAGCCTTAAGCTTCTAGCCACATTAGTCATTCTAGCGCAACAACCCTGGATCCTTCTGAAGCACTGTTGCTGTGTATTTGTTTGTTACAGTGTTAGCCGCCTGTTTCCCGATCTTGTTTCCAACTTACGAATGAATTTCTTCTTTAATAATAATAATAAAAACTTTATTCTGAACAGTGTTTATGTAATTTGAAGTCAATCGATGGCTGGTGACTGGTGGTAGAATCCAGGACAGTGCGCATTTCGTCCTTTACGGGACCCGTCATCTGGATGTTCCTGCATTCCCCAGTGAGTAACCGAGCACTTCGATCCAATCAATTGACGGGAAAATCTTAAATTGAATTAAAAAATTAATATGACCCGTTGCAGAAGAGGTATCTGTCTTGGCTCAAGTGGTCTAGTGGATAACGCTTTTGCGCCTGAAACTATGGGCACTAGGTTTGAGCTTCGGTGGGATCACCATCATTCACTGGGGAATGCAGGTACAGCCAGATGACGAATCCCAAATGGTTCGAAACGCACATCCTGGATTCCACCAGTTGACTTCAAGTTACATGACCAGACATCGTCGTCGAAGCATCTGCACAAGGAGCCTACATCTCAAGCTGAGACCGGACACTTTGGTCCAATCAATCGACGGAAAACCTAAATTGAATTAAATGTTTATATAATGTACAAAATTTTCAGTAGAGTTTATTGCATGATACTTTCTCTTCGTCGTCTAGGATCTTCAAATAAAAAAAAATTAATTGACAGTAGATTTTGTGACACCTGAAGCGCAAACTAATCCTATCATTACGTTGGATCTTCTTTGACTCTTTCGGGAAATACACGACATTTTGTTGAATACCATACCATACCAAAGTCCAGGAGTACATTTTTGGTCAACCAAGGACACCACTCAGAAATGGTCATCTCATGTACTGGGAATAAACTCCCTCCCATCGAGAATAATGCTTATTCACATGTTTAGTAGAAACTTGCAAATCAGCAGGTTGTGTTTGAAATACTCGCCAGAGTAAATAGAGTACTATAAGAGGTGGCCATATTTTACTATGTATAAACAAACTGAATAAGAGAAATTATATTAAGATATATGGTTGGAGGATTTCATCATGAGCTAAAATCAGTTAGAGAACCATTGGAAAACCTGTAGGGAGTACTGGACTACAGCCGTTTCGTTTCAGTTTGGGACTCTTCATCGGTACTCACCCACCGGGTTCGAATACGGGGTGCAGAAGTTAGAATTCATGGACTAGCCATTGGATCAATCGAGTCACAGTGGCTTAATGGTCTACTAGCTATCTCGCCTTGTAACCAGGAGGTCCTGGGTTCGAACCCCTGTGTGGGGGCGTACCGCTGAAGAGTCCCAAACTGGTGTTACTAAACAGCTGTCTGGCAGTATTCCCTGCAAGTTTTCCAATGGTTCTCTAAATGATGTCAGCTCATGATGAAATCCTCCAACCAACCAAACTGAATCCCTACAAAAACCAATACTTGATTATTCTATATATTTTTCAAAAGAATTGATACCGAACAACGAGTACTCTTTTCGATAACCCCTTCATCATCGGGCTCTACAGTTATATATACATTATTGTGAATGAATGAATGAATTAGTGTTATGAACAACCTTAATGTTGTTTAAATAACATCGAATCAATAACAATATCAATAGAATTCAGCTGAATAGCATCAACAATAAGCTAAATGACAGAAGAATTAGGGAAGATAATATTACAAATTAATGAGTTTATACTCTCTACTGAAGGCCAGGGCAGTAATAGTGGCTGGCTGGACTTGTTTCTTTCGCACACAGAGTACTTGTTGTTTCAGGCGAATTGCAATAGCCTCTGGTGTTTGGGGCATGCGGTGCTTCGATGTTTTTGACAATTTATTTGGTACCCGTTAGATTATAGAGAAGGATCCTTCAACGGTGGCTGGCTTTGTGACCGGTTTGCACCAGATGGTCCAATATTGGACTGTTAATGGCTCTCACTACACCTTTACGTAGCCACAGTGGGAGGTGTTCTCGAGCACGAAAAATACAACTCGCTCCACAAGCGCAGTTGAATTGGTAGATACAATTTGAAGCGGCTAGCTAGTCTAGGTACTTCATCTTCCAGTCGAGGAATTACCATCGTTCGTGTAGAGAATAAGACGTTTATTTCGCTAGCATTTTTATTCAATATATATTGAGAGATGTTTTTCAGTAGCCCAAGTTTTAAGCAGACCGCTACTGAATTTCTCATAGAATAGAAATATTGAAACTTTGAGAAAAATAATATAAACTCTCTCCCTCTCTCTGTGTATCTGTCTTTTATACTCTTATTGTTTCTTGTTTTTATTTGTCTCCTTTACGTTATAAACAGTTATTTACACGCTAAGAATATAATCCATCGTGATTTAAAGTCGAGTAATATTTTCTTACATGATCGTACTGTGAAAATCGGTGATTTCGGTTTGGCTACAGTGAAAAGTCGTTGGTGGAATACTGGCTTTCAACAGCCTACTGGATCCATATTTTGGATGGTAAGTAGTGTATATATATATATATATATATATATATATATATATTTGCAAAGTCTATCGAGAGCAAAGGGAACTGTAAAACGAGAGTTTTGAAGTCGTGTGATTATAATTGATACTATGATTATGAACAATAGATAAATTGTGTTCGAAACTGTGTCATCCAGTAAATAATACTGTTTCTCTGACTGTGAGATATATCTAATAAACAAACTAATATTTAATTACTTACTCGGTCGGTCGGTTTTCGACATAGAACTTTGCACATATGTGCGGCAGTTCAAGTCGCCACACCCCATGTAGCACACAAAGCAAGAAAGTAGAAGAAATGCATAATATAGTCAGTAAACAGAGGTGTGAGACAAAGGAATACTAATAACGGAGAACAAAACAGTTTAATTGGAAATCATAAGTCACAAGGAGTGGATGCATCTGCGCCAGCCATTGAGAACGATTTTGAGCCATATCACCAATTGTTTCCAACCATTGGTTTTTACCGTCCCGAGGACCCCAACTGGTCAGGAAGTCTACATCTTCCTACGTGGCTTAGACTAACTGTTGTGGATTTCATTGATTGGTGCCATGTTTTCGTTTGACCGCCGCTAGCTCTTTTCCAACCTGGCCCTATATCAGCTTACTACCACAGTGTTGCCCAAGTTTAACACCTATATCATTATTATTATTTTAGTTGATTCTCATTTATTAGAAGACGAAAGGATTTAGAAAAAGGAAAATACTTTTATTATGGGTAAATTTTGTTTTGATAAAGTCTCACAGTGTTATACAGTAATATTTACTGATGAAGTTTCAAGCACAATTTATTGCTGCTCATAATCATATCAAGGTAATCACACGACTTCCTAAATTCATTGATATAGTTCCGTTGTTTTTCACTTGATTTGATTGGTAGTAATATTTTCCATATTACGGGTATAAGTGATGAATCATTCCTGTTGCATGTGTTGGGTGTAGATTATATGAGCAAAGATTCAGTAATCAACCTGTCTCTCCACCTACTTTTATTACATCTTAGAATTTTGACTCTGTCCCACCCATTCTATTGTGTGATTGTGTGTTAATGCATGCAGTGCAATCCCTGAGCTTTTTTCTAAATTACTTATCTTCTCCGGGTCAACCATTCTAACCTTAGCTAAATTCTTATGTTCTGACAATCTGACTACCCCTGACCTACTAGTTTGACCTATGTAGTTGACGTAACTCACAGTCATTGCAGGGTATTTTGTAAATTATATTATTTTGTTCAATTGGGTCAACTGGGTCCTTTAACCTACAGAAACAGTCATGATTGTTTATGGTCGATATCCAGGGTTGATAGCGTGGGCGTCCGCGCACAGAACTGACTCTGGGGTATTCCTAATCCCTTAACATGCAATCAACTTGAACATTCACTTATGACTGAATGTCTCTTCATTTTTCAAAATTTATGCATTATGCAATCCACTTGTTGTAAATATTTCTACCTTCCAATTGTGTGTGCATTAATATTCTCGTTTAGTTGTCACCCCCTCCCACTCCACCTGACATGTTGATACTGACTAATTATTGTTAACAAATATATCACTATCATTAGATTGGCAAGAATTCTTTGTATTATATTAAAAAAGCTATATATATATATATATATATATATATATATATATATATATATATATAGAACAACACATTTAAGCGAACAATATTGTGGGTTCAGTTAGATCTCATCAGGTTTAACTCTGATATACATAAGTTTACAGGATAATAAGATGGTGAATATAAGTTGTGTAATTAGTCGTAATAGTAGTAATGGTAATAATAATAATAATCCTTATCATAATAATAATGGTTTTATCAATAATAAGAATGAAAAAGTGGGACAATCTGCGATAACACGAATAATGAAAAACAGCATGATTAAACAAACAAATGTTCAGGTAGACGTAGTAGTCGATAAAGGCTAGTAAAAACAAATGAACCGATTAAGTAGTGCTAGATTGTAAGGGAAGTAAATGAAACAGGTTTATAATGAAGATGTGATAAGATTAAGGGATGATAAGAAAGGGGTTGAAAATATAAACAAGGGGTGGTGTAGAAGTCATTAGTTGGCTATGTCTTAATAGGCCAAGGGAGGGATAATAGCTGTACGAACTTCTTTGAATGCATAGTTTAGGCTTAATAGTTCGAATGCCTATCGCCTGCCTCATCTGTGTGCAGTAGACGAATACAAAGCCTATTGGAAAGATTCAGTGGGACACGATGAGTTAACTTGAAAGCTCTCGTTTTCTCCATTACATGACCACTATCAATTAAGTGTGACAAAATTGAGCTACGGATTGTTTGTCCTTTGCCAAATCACGATCGGAGATGTTCAGTAGTGACACGTTGGTTAAGCTGTCTAGTAGTACGCCCAACATATCTGTCACCGCAGGTGCAGTTGAATTGATAAATGCACATAGATGTGGCAAAACTATCGACCACTTCTACCTGAACATTTTTTTTGTTTAATCATGCTGTTTTTCATTCATCGTGTTATCACAGATTGCCTGACTTTTTCATCTTTATTATTGACAAGACCATTATTACTATTGCTATTATTATTATTATTATTATTATTATTATTATTATTATTATTATTATTATTACCATTACTACTATTATGACTAATTACACAATTTATATTCACCATCGTATTATCCTATATACAAAACACCGTGATTGGTTTATATTTGAATTTTTATTTGTAAAGTTATGTATATTGGAGTTAAGCCTGATGAGATCTATTTGAAACCACAATATCACTGTTCGCTTAAATGTGTTGTTCTTTCTCTCTCTCTCTCTCTCTCTATATATATATATATATATATATATATATATATATATCAGCCTGTGCGTAAAATTACATTCAGTGTTCCCAATTGTTTGGTATTTGTTTATATGTATTTTGTGGCAATCATTTTCCTCTCACATGATTGAATATAACTCACCCCACACTCCATTTGGGAGTGAGGAAGGAGTTGCCACCGACGACATTGGTTGGTGCAAGTCACGCTAAAATCACGAGTTGCTGGAAGTTAAAATTCATGGGCTGAGCATTGAGTCGGGTTCGAGTGGGTGGGTACTGATGATGAATCCCACAGTAGGATGAAACACCTGGTTTTCAGTAGTTCTCTAAATGATATCAATCCGTGGTCCAACTTAAAACAAGTATAATCTCGATAAAGAAGGGAAGATGAAATTTGCAGTATAAATGTGATATCATCATTCTATTTCACAGGTTCTCATCAGCTGCACATCCCTAACTGAAATTACAATGGTTATATAAATGGTAATAACATACTTTAATGTTTGAGTGGTAGTAGAGAAGAAAAACCACAAAATTGACGCATCCAAAATTAAAGCATTACAATTTTTATTTTTTAGTTTTCGTTGTCAATTTATGCAAGAGGAGGGAGGGGTAATACAGAAAACCGAAAAGAAAATTAACAGAACAGTGTTAGCTTGTATCTTGTTCATATAGCAACTTAAAAAACAAAGGCGATTACAATTTATGAGATTAAGATTTGTTCAGTGAGTTGAGATCACTGAATTAGATGACTAATTATTGTAATCAAAATCAAAATTTAGTTACTAAAAGAGTGAGAGGTTAATCACACTCTCTTTCTGTATGCATAAGTCTGGTTGGTTTAAATCGTTTGATTGCGATCGCTTCGGTAAATCGTATTAAATTTGCTATCCTTTGTCTAATTAATATTTTGAAGGACTTAGAAATCTTTACGAGTTGACCAATATCAACAATATGTCTGGTAATTGCACTCTGAGAATATTTGCTTCCTTTCAGGCACAGGTTTCTTGGAATATGTTCAGAAAACCGGATAGAAGCCCTTCTTTCCGTGTGATTTCAACTCACTGAACAAATTTTAATCTTATAAACTCTAATTGCTGTTGTTTCTTGAGTTGCTATTTGAACCTACAAGCTAACACTGTTCTGTTGATTGCTGCTGCTGCTGGATTCAACATAGAACTTGGCACAGAAGTGCAGCAGTTCGAGTTGCCACGTTCCAAATAGCACACAAAGGTAGACAGGAAAATGAGAGAAGAGAATCAATAGTTTTGACAGGTATAAGAGTGAAACAGAATGGGTAATGGTAGAAAGGAATATGAAGGTTAAAGAGACTGAATACATCTGCGTAAGCCATTGACAACGATTTTTAGCCATGTCACCTGTTGTCTCCAGCCATTGATTCTTAGAGTCCCAAGGGCCGGCCCCAACCCGGAAGTCTGCATCTCCCTACCTGACTCAGTTTAACTGTCAGGGATTTCATGGATTGATTGATGCCATGTTTTTGTTTGGCCACCACTTACTCTTTTCCAACCTGCATCTATATCAGCTGCTAATGCCCGTCTGGGGAGGCGATGGTTAAGCATGCGCAGCACGTGACCTAGCCATCTCAATCTATGTAACTTTATAGCCTCGTTGATTGATTTTCCCTCTTTTCCCAACACTCTACGCCTAACATCAACATTACTCACCTTATTGTACCACCTAACGTGAGAAAGAGATCGTAGACATCTATGATCAAAAACAGTCAACCTTTTCATGTCTTCAACTCGTATTGGCCATGTTTCAGAGCCATAGAGAAGGATGGAGCGAACTGCTGAGCAGTATACACGTCCCTTGGTTGATAGCCTGATGTCACACCTACGCCAGAGACGGTGTAAGTTAGCGAAAGCAGCCCGAGCTTTTTGGATCCGTGCTGTGATTTCGTCACCAATCAATCCGTTGGTGCTGATACAACTTCCCAAATAGGTGAAGTGGTCAACATGTTCTATCACTTCACTCCCTATCACTAAGCTAGGAGTTGACGTAGTCCAGTCCTGTAGCAACATCTTGCATTTCACAGGGGCGAATCGCATGCCAAACATACAAAGATTGCTGCTCAAGGTGTTCAGAAGACTGCATTTTGTCAGCGTCCTCTCCTAACAGGACTATGTCGTTTGCGTATTCTAAGTCTATAAGACTATTCCCTGGTAACAAGTCGATTCCTAAGTCGTTAAGTTCAGTTAAGGGTACTTCCATTAGGATATCTATGATGAAGTTAAACAGAAAAGGGGAAAGTGGACATCCTTGACGGACACCACTGGTTGTTATCAATTCAGATGACAATTCCCCATAAGCCCTTACACAGCTACGTGAGTTTGAGTAGAGAGGCTTGATTAGTGCAATGTACTTTCTTGGCACTTCTGTTGATTAATTTTTTCTGTTTTCTGTCTTACCCCTCGCCCCTCTGTATAAATTGATGATAAAAACTTAAACTAAAAATTGTAATGCTTTAATTTTGGCTGCGTCAATTTTGTGGTATTTCTTCTCTACTACCAGTCAAACATTAAAGTATGTTATTATCATATATAATATAGCCATTGTAATTCCAGGTAGTCTGCAGTTAGCTGATGAGAACCTGTGAAATAGAATGATGATATCACATTTATACTGCGAATTTCATCTTTCTTTGTTTATCAAAATTTATCCGGGGAACCAAATGTACAAATACAATCCCTACAAAGTAATTCTTGAAAGTGATAATATTTATGGATTTATAACTGTAGAGCCTTAGGGATTATGTTATCGAAATCATAATTGTTCACTCAAAATCATCTTTTTTTGTTAGTTTGTATTATTTATTATTGAGTAAATGGAATTTATTTTATTGGACTACTGAGATGTAATATGGCGATTGTATTTTATTCTCTGTTCCTCCCTATTCATCATTCAATGCTTTATTTTTCAGGCTCCTGAAGTTATACGTATGGAGGGTGAAACACCGTATACAAATCTTTCTGATGTTTATGCCTTCGGTGTAGTTCTCTACGAATTGATCACAGGTCAACTACCCTATTCACATTATAATAATCGTGATCAAATTCTATTTCTTGTCGGTCGTGGTCTACTGAAACCAGATACAAGTGCTTGTCGAGCGGATATTCCACATCAACTTCAACACTTATCTATGAGTTGTTGTAGTTTTGAACGCGAAAAGAGACCGCCATTTTCACAGGTGAGATTTTAAACCACTTTCTCCAACCCCATCCCCCTTCCCGTCGTCGTTGTTTTGGTTCCCAATCATTCTGAAAAGTTTATTGATAAGAATAATGAATCTAAAATCAAGGCAGCCCAAGGTACCAATAGTTCCGAAAAAGTAAAGCCTTATTCTTACAAATGCAGTTCCTTGCAGACAACATCAGCGAGATACTAACACAACGCCTTAGAAATGTGGTAAAAAGAGCATTCCCTGCTGGTGAATTCCGCTGTATCTTCAAAACCACTCCTCTTTTGCGTTCGGGAGTAAAAGACAAACTGCCTAATTTCGCCTCTTCCATGTGTATCTACCAATTGAACTGCTCCTGTGGAATGAGCCAGTTACATAGGCCGTACAATTAGGCGTGTTTCTCGTCGAATTTTCGAGCATCACCCTGCATGGTTTTGTAAAGGACAAACAAAATCTATTCACAGCGCTATTCTATCTCATCTTGTGGATGCAGAACACAAGACTGATTGATGTTAACTAGGCTTTTAGGGTCATTTACCGCATACCTACGAATCTCAATTTCGCCTTAAGAGTTCGACTACTAGATATTGGTGAGACTGTTGGGATCCATATTAATTAAGAAGCTTAATTTGTGCGTCGAAAAGAAGTTAGTTTAGACATTATCCTTACCCGCTTGGCCATCTAGGTTTTAATGATCCTGAAGTATTTTTCGGAATTTTCCTAATTTTAGTTGATATTTTATTTGCTACTGCATCTTTATTATTATGATAATTTAAGCATCTTTAATGAACTGTAATCCCACTGATCTCACTTAACAAATCGATATTATTTAAAAAAACAATAATATTGTTATTGACTACTAATCTAGAATATTCTATGTATATAAACATACACATAACTGAAGAACCAGAAGTGGAATTTATGGAGAAGGATATTCTTTGCTCGATAATTTTGTGTTTTATAGATGTCTGAATGAATATTTTTGCTATACTCAATCATTTTGACATTTTCTGGGATTTTTTGATTATAGCTTGATTCAACACCGCATTTTTGGTACAAGTATGGAATTTTCAGCATGTGATATCGGTAGCCCAAATTTGGCAAGCCGACCATTGCTATTGGGTGTGCGTCGGTAGGGGATCGAACCCCGGACCATGTGAATGGTCGGCGAGGGTCCTAACCGCTATGCCACTGACGCACTGTTTGGGCGTTAAATTTATTTTGCGGATCAGTTAAAATTTGTTAGTATGTGTATTATACTTTTTGGTTGATCCCACTTAGTAGTAATTATATATCACCTATTCGAATTTTGATGTCCCCATCTGTCTGAAGTGGTGTGGATTGCTGTCTACAACAGTTAGTTAGCTAGTCAATCACTCATGAAGAAATTTAAATCATTTCACTTTATGCTAAATATTGCGCTGAAGATGTTGTCCAGAAGGACGACGAAAGCTTCGCAACCAAACCAACCAGCTCAGAGAACACTGATAATTGGAAATGAAACACATTCAAGACGATATTTTACTCCGACACATAATTGAAAAACATACTTCCCAATTACAATGAAGGGTATCCATTTTTCAAGTTTCATAGTTATCAAAATAGTTTCATCTATATGAACAACGGAACGCTGTCCTCCCCCCATTTGTTTATTTCTTAACGAAAAAATTGAGATGATTTTGATAATAATGAAATACCTCAACCCTAGAGCCAGCGTGTTTTAAACCCCAAACAGTGTTTAAAAACGAGATCCGCATGAAATTGCACTTCAATTCACATGGACAGTGTTCACATATTGGCTGTGTAATAATACTGCAGGTTCTGTTATCCAATGAACGACATACGTCCAAGGTCATTGACATACATTCGCACTCCATTGCAGCTATCCTTTAGATTGGTTGAGATTGCTTCCCAATGCGTAAGAGCCTTCGATGCTGCTCGTATAGTTATCATTTGGATTGCTGACCAGAGTAGATTATTGGCTCGTTAGTTTACAATTTTTAGAGTCTAATTGCATTCCTAGCACTTCTATGCCATATCTTCGTATTTCTTATGCAATTTGGTCAGCTTTTCCGTCTCTGAAAAATCGTGGTGGTGGTGGGGGACATTCTGCTGTATACTTTTGCTTTCGTCGGCATCATTACGTCCCGGTCACGGTCTCAGCGGAGAATGAGTTCCTTTTTTCTTTTATCTATGCCTTGAAATTTCTCTAGGGATTGAGTTTATTTCCCCTGCTAAGGGACGACCAATCTTCCCACCATTTTCCGGGAATAGGAACGGCTGGCAGACTAGCAAACTACACACCAGGCCCTTAAATGATACGCTGATTGAAGGCAACAGATTGGGCGTCCTCGAGGGTTACATGGAAGAGATCATGTGAAGCGGACATGGAAGCTCGTTGGTGATTGTTAAGCCACTTAAAAAAGACAGGAGAGAACAGAGAGAGCGAGAGACAGAAATATGCTGTGGAAGTCCTGTATTTCAATGGACGAATAATTGTAGTAATAATAGTAATATGGTTTCAACTTGAGGTTGGATGAGAAAATATTGTTCACTCCTATCTTGTGTGATGATTTGTTCTGCTAATTAGTGACCTGCTCTTTGATCATCAGATGTGGTACAAGTTGATTGCGCGATAACCTACTGAACGCTTTGTGTGTCATCTTTGTAGAAGTTGGACACTGGCAGTTTGAAAATTCCAAAATTAATTTGTTAATCACACTGCAAAACACACTACTCTTATCAATTTTGCAGTGAAGTTGATGATTACTACGAACCCAGAGAGACTGACGGAGCAGTGACTTTAAACTGAGTGATTGCGTGAAGAAGAATTAAAAACAACAACCGAATTAGGGTCTCTGGCTCAACCCCCCAACTTTAATCTATCTCTAATCAAATTCTAATATCCCTCTAAACCTCTAAACAACATCAATAATTTCAAAAGAATAGACACGGAACAAAGAATACTCTTTTCGATAAACCCTTCATCATCAAGCTCTACAGTTATATATACATTATAGTGAATGAATGAATTAGTCTTATGAACAACAATAATGTTGTTTAAATAACATCGAATCAATCAATAATATCAACAGATTACAGTTGAATAGCATCAACATAAAATAAGCTGAATGTCAGAAAAATTAGGAAAGATAATATTACAACTTCATGAATTTATAATCTCTGCTGAAGGCCAGGGCAGTAGTAGTGGCTTACTGGACTTGCTTCATTTGAACACAGACCACTGGTTGTTTGAGGTGAATTGCAATAGCCTCTGGTGTTTGGAGCATGCGGTGCTTCGATGATTTTGGCAATTTATTGGGCACCCGGTATATTATGGAGAAGGATTCTTCGACACTGGCTGGCTTTGTGGCCGGTTTGCACCAGATGGTCCAATATCGAACTGTTAATATTTTTAACTACACCTTTACTTCGTCATAGTGGGAGATGTTCTCGAGTGGGCACGAAAAATCAAGTTCCTAGAGCAATGGTCAATATATCTCGCTCCAGTACAAGCGCAGTTGAATTGGTAGATACAATTTGAAGTGACTAGCTAGTCTAGGTACTTCATCTTTCATTTGAGGTAGCACCATCGGTCGTGTAGAGAATAATACGTGTAGTTCGTCAGTATTGAAAGTTCTTTGAACTGATTTTCTTAATTTCCTCGTAATTATCTCACTTGATATATCGCCCTGGAATTGTAGTCGTATATAAAGTGGCTTCTTGTTTACAGATGGAGGGTAGTCCTCTTCCGCTTTCAATGTCATGTGTTTCTTGATAAATTTTTCGGGATAGCTATTTTCTATCAAAGTATCATATACAATGCTTTATTCATCTCCAATTACTTCTTCTGAGCAAATAGCTGTAACTCTGTGGCAGAGGGTCTTCACTAAATTTCTTTTGTACTTGATAAGAACGAAGCTGTGAAAATGCGTGTACATTGTCCTATCCAAGTGCTTTTTCTATGCAAATTTCTTTTTATGTGACCGTCTGGTTTTCTTGTAAGGAGGACATCCAGGAAGGCAATTCTGTCTTGGGATTCCTCTTCGCATGTGAATGTCATAGCCAGCCGAATGTACTTCATTGAATTCAGTAATTATTGTACTCCTCCTATCCGAATCATTATCACAAAGAGTAAAGACGTCATCCATATACCGGCAATAAAATGAGAACTTTCTGATGAGGTTGTTTAAAGGTCCATTTTCTAGGTTACTTAGAAAGAAATCAGCCCAAATTGGATCCAATGGGGAGCCCATCGCCACCCCATCCACTTGACATCGATTAGACAATCATTGAAAAGCCAGCAGGGATTACTGGACAGCTGTTTTTCAGCCTAGTTCACGCTGTACTCAGCATTACTCATCCACAACCCCAGGCTTCAACCTCAGGACCTTCAGGCTACGAGACAAGCTCGTAGACCATTTACCTACTGGGGCCAGACGTAATGGCAAGCTCATGAATTCCAACATCTGGCAATTCGCGGTAGAGGTATATAACCCAACCGCCAGTCATTATCATCAGCGTGCGATTGTCCTCTTACTAACCTGTAACCAATCAAATCCCTGCTGCAAACCAACATTTAGTAATTTATCTGATGCTGTAGTTCTAGTGAGCAGTCATAACTTTTGGGATCCGTCAAAACGTCAGGTAAGAGAATTGTTACTTGTCTGTGACACTGATTGGCGGCTGTAGCCATATCCAGTACTCTCCCTGTTTGTCTTAGGCATTTTTCTCTGCCTACTTTCTGCATATTTCAATTTATTTGACTATTGTTTCTGTTTTGTTTTTTTAACTTCTATTTCTCCCCCTCCCCGCTTCCCCCTAAACAACAGATCTATCCATGCTTAGATTCATTGTATCGATCTTTACCAAAACTGCACAAGTGTTCCTCTGAGCCAAATGTCAATGGTGCTGTTCGTATAGCTGCTGCTAATGCTGCCGCCAGTGCAGTAGCTCCAGGTGCAACTGGTACTTCCGGTGGTAGCGGTGCTGTTGGCGGTGCCGGTGGCGATGTCATCATCACATGCGCTGACCGTGCTGACGAAAATGACGAAGGTGTTGAGATGACGGCGGCGACGAAGACCACGCTGTCGACATCTATTACACCAATGAAATCAGCGTCGGATTGTTGTTATGTCGGCTTGTCATCACCAAGGACACCATACAATGCTACAGCAACGTTCACAGAAGATTTCTTTTTTGCTGTGAACACCACCACTACGACCACCACCCCTATCACTAATAATAATACAAAGCTGATTTCAACACCAGTTTCTGTTAGTACAAATTCCAGTGGAACTAATGACATTCCATCATCATCATCACATGACAATCATGCTAACGATGTTGTTGTTACTGTTGCTCGCAGTGATGCTGTTAATGATGGGGAACAGGACAACACCGATCGGGTTATCCCAGCCACTGATACTGCTACTGTTCCGAGTAATGGTGAGACTACGATACCGATTACTCCAACTGTAACTACAACGCCATCTCCATCACCACCGCCAGCAGCCAATGTGAACAAACGTACCATTGTGATTATCAATGAAACCGTGTGAAATCTGATCCACAATCATCATCATCATCAGTTTCAGCCCTTTGAATTCTGTGATCCGATTGAATTTTCTTCTTTCATTCCTTATGCCGACGACTGTCATCGTTTTTGTGTGTGCTTTTTGTACAGTTCTTCAGAGAATGCTAATAGTAATAATAATAATGATTTGTCGAATTTTAGGCCGTGACAAGTGAATCTTTTTAATGCTCTCTAGGGTTCATGATTGTTATTATTATTATTGTTAGTGTGTGTTTGTGTGTGTGTGTCGGTGTATGCGGTCATGCTTACATAATATGACTTTATCTCTTGTGATTTGACTTCTAGTAATACTGATTTATTGATTTTCTGCTTTCTTTTCTCTATTGTGAGCAATAATCATCTTCACCATTGTCGTTGTTGTCCTTGTTATTTGTGTTTTTCTGTATGAGTCAGTATACTACGTGTTGTGATGTACACACACAATTGAGAAGTCAGTAAAGAGATGTCTTTCTTTCTATTCTTTTTTCGTGTGTGTTTGTGTGTGTGTGAGTGTGCTTCTAACTCAAACTTTGATCTAGGCACCATAGTTGGTTAGTAGTAGTACTCATACTTGTGGTTCTGTGTGCTCTTAAGCAAAAAGAATGTTTTTTTGTGTCGAGGCCTTACACACAATACACATTTATAATAATAATAATCTATTTACTTTACTCCAAAAACAGTACTTATAATACAGAATGGAATTCTCAGCATTTGTCACAACACCTTGCATCTGATCTACTCAAAGTATAAATAAAATTAAAAATTAAAACAAAATTAACCGGAGGAATTTGTCCACATTTACGATATACAGTCAAAAATATTCGAAGCACGAAGTGAGAATATTAATAATCATAATAATAATAATAACAGTGAGTTTTTTTCAAACAGTATTGTCGATTCAGTTTGGAAACTTTAGCATGTTATAGATTATTGCATCTAATGTTCCGTTGATATAGTACAGTGAGGGGAAATACAAAATTAACAGGTATAACATAGCTTAAATGATGTTCACACTTATGAAAAAAAAATGAACAAAACAAAAAATTGAGAGGATTATAAATATAAGAAATACAATAACAATAAAGTTTGATGTTGTAAGGGTGGAGGAAATGGTTTATTTAGTAGTGCAAAGAAGGTTAGTTAGTTCATGCCTGACACTATTTTCATCACATAAAGTACATGCCGCCAAATATGGTATAGTGGAATTTTTATACTTATACGTACATGCATAAATTCTTCTGAAAAGACTTCTTGTTTTACCTGAGGAGACACAAGGTTGGCGCCGTGGGTAAAGTGGATGTTCACAGTCTGACAAAATTCCTTTAGCGAATTTGTTGCACGACATCAAGTGTCTATCAGTGACAATGTCAACGATATGGCCCAATGGGATACCACTCGTCCTACTGACAGTCTTCAGAGTTCTACGAAGTATGACATAGTCATTTTTAAGCAATCCAGGAAAGAATAATGGTGAACAGTAAAGAAGAGTAGGTATAATACACGAGTTGACAAACTGTAAGAGGAGAAGGGGTTGGGTTATACTTGAGTGCCTTGACTTCTGAAATTAAATAGTCAGACGAAATATTCTTTTAGAAATCTCTAAGACATAGGAGGACCAGGATAGATCAGAAGAGAGAATTAATCCAAGATACTTAACTTCAGATTTGATTTATATATCACTATCATCAATTCTGCAAGAGTCATAGGAACCAACGGCTTCATTTAACTTTTGTTTACATCGGAAACTGAAATTGACAGTCTGACATTTGGAAGGATTTAGTTTAAGGCCGTTAGACGAGGACCATTTTGCTAATTCCTGATAGAAAGCTGTTCATCTTAGTACAGTCAAGCTGGGAGTTAACAGACATTGAAATAGTTAGATCATCGGCATACTTAAAAAAGTTCATTTCATCAGAGTGAGGCAAGTCATGCAAGAAGAAAGAAAACAGAAAAGGAGAAAGGACAGCGCCTTTAGGGACACCAGCCTCAGTAAGCAACGAAGTTGACGACTTTCCCTGACATACAGTGTATCGCTTTCTTTCTGAGAAATAAGAATGGAGCCATTTGACAACCCAACAGTCAGTTTGAGTTTCAGGAAGCTTGTTTAACAAAATGTCCCTAGGTACTGAGTCGAAAGCAGATGTGTAATCTAGGAAGGTGCTGCGAACAAATTTAGCCCCCTTGTCTAAGCTGGAGGTGGGTCGGTTTTCGACATAGAACTTTGCACATATGTGTGGCAGTTCAAGTCGCCACACTCCCTTCATGTAGCACACAAAGCAAGAGAAGAAATGCATAATATAGTCAGTAAACAGAGGTGTGAGACAAAGGAATAGTAATAACGGAGAACAAAACAGTTTCATTGGAAATCATAAGTCACAAGGAGTGGATGCATCTGCACCAGCCATTGAGAACGACGATTTTGAGCCATATCACCAATTGTTTCCAACCATTGGTTTTTACCGTCCCGAGGACCCCAACCAGGAAGTTTACACCTTCCTATGTGGCCTAGACTAACTGTTGTAGATTTCATTGACTGGTGCCATGTTTTCGTTTGACCAGCGCTAGCTCTTTTCCAGCTTGACCCTGTATCAGCTAACATTGCCCATTGAGGAAGGCGATGACTAGGCATACGTAACACATGTCCTAACCATCTCAGTCGATGTAATTTCACAGCTTCGTTGATTGATTTCCCTTCCTTACTTAGCACTCGACACCTAACCTCAATATTGCTCACCTTATTATACCACTTCACGCGGGAGATAGAACGCAGACACCTATGATCGAACACAGCTAATCTTTTCATGTCTTCTGCTCTCAATGGCCAGGTCTCATAGCCATAAAGGAGGACGGAGCGGACTGTTGAGCAGTACACACGCCCTTTGGTCGATAGCCGGATATCGCGTCTACGCCAGAGACGGCGTAAACTGGCATATGCGAACCTAGCCCTCTGTATTCGTGCTGAGATTTCGTCGGAGATCAACCCGTTGGGGCTGATGGTACTTCCCAAGTAAGTGAGGCGGTCAACGTGCTCTACCACTTCACTTCCTATTTCTAATCTAGGGGTCGGTGAAGTCCAATCCTGCAGCATCATCTTACATTTTACAGGGGCGAATCGCATGCGAAACATACGAAGATTGTTGCTCAAGGTGTTCAGTAGACTCTGCATTTTGTCAGCGTCCTCGCCTAGAAGGACTATATCGTGCGCATATTCTAAGTCGACGAGATTATTCCCTGGTAGCAAGTCAATCCCTGAGTCTCTGAAGTGTGTTAGGGTTAAGTCCATTGGTACGTCTATGATGAAGTTGAATAGGAATGGGGATAATGGGCATCGTTGACCGACGCCACTAGTCGTCACCACTTCAGATGATAACTCGCCATAAGCCCTCACTTGGCTGCATGAGTACGAGTAGATTGCCTTAATCAGTGCAATGTATTTTCTCGGCATTCCGTTTATGGCCAGGCATCGCCAGAGAACCTCTCGGTCGACAGAATCGAATGCTGCCTTTAGGTCAAGAAACATAATGATTGTCGGACGCCGGAAGGAATGCCTATGTTCTAGAATCTGTCGAAGGCTGAAGATATGTTATGATACAAGACTGCGACTGCATCTAAAGTACTTCTACTGTTTTTATAGGTGAATTGTTTAGGATCGTTAAAGGCTTTAAGTGAAGGTTGAAGATTAATTAAGAATAACTTTTCCATAGGTTTTAGAAAAGGGGAAGTAATAGCAATGGGTGTAAATGTAAAACATGTTTCAGTAGACGACTTAGGTATATGAACAATTTTAATGTCCTTCCAAACTGCTGGCACGACATTTTTGGAAAAAGATTCGTTAAATATGTCCATGAGAGGATAACACAGGATATCTGCACACTTTTTAAGAATAACACCGGGCAAACCGTCTGGACCCAGGCTACAAGAAGGGTTCAGAGACTGGAGACATTTTAGAACATCATTAACACTAGAAAGTTTGGCATTTGTGGGAGAATGTATGAAGGACTTGTTTAATGTGCAAACATCAAGGGAATAAGGAATGCTGTTCATCTGCTTACCACCAGTAATTTCTTTGAAAAGTTTCCATATATTAGACGCATTTTCACTGGATATAAACCTTTGGTTGTAAATTGAATTCAACCTGTGCATTTCAGACTTGATTAAGATGTTAATTCTTCTCAAACCAGTGTTATCCTTCATTTTATATAACTTTTCTTGTTGCCTGCGAAGCTTTTTAAGTTGAGGGGAAGAGAAACGGTCAAATCTGATGAAGAGCGTTTCTCTGGGACAACAGGTGTCAAGACAAAATTTGAGATAACTTGTAATATTAGAGATTGTGTCATCAAGAGAGTCTTCATTAAACAGGTCCCACCTTGTGTCTTTGAGCATGCCTCTGCGATTCTGAACATTCTCCATAGAGTAACATCCAAGTACAGTTCTCTTGGAAAGGTGTGAAGAAGTTCTCTTGGGTAAAACCCGTACAATACAATGATCTGAGTTAAACAGTGGAGCTCTTTTACGAGCTTCGTATATTCCGCAGTCATTTATAAATACAAGAACAAGAGAATTATCCAGTCTGGTGGGAAAGTTAACAATATTTTCATGACCTATCACTGTGAGAAAGCTGCAGTCACATGAATTAAAATCACCTGTCACTATGGTCAGGGAGTTACCAAAAGAGGCGGCAGCAAAAATAGTGAATTCATCAGCAAGCATAGATAATTCTGAAGTGCTACAACAAGGTGTGATATAAATATTCGTGATATAAATGAATTTGTATTTAGATAGGTGTTTAGGTCGACATTTGACAGTTATACAGTCAATATTATCATTTGAGAATTTAAAACAGACGTTGTTGGCAACAGACCATTGTTAAATTGATGAATGTAGCAACACCGCCGCCTCGCTTCTTCCTTGAATTACTTCGGTCTTGTCTTTACATATTGAAACCATTTAGTAAGGTTAAATTATCATCATATGAGTCGTGTAGCCAAGTTTCTTGAAGCGTTATTACACCTGTATTACGATAAATATTTGAATATAATAGAGAATCCAAGTGATTAATCTTGTTCGATAATGACCTGCAATTAGTGCTCATAATCACAGGGACAGTCATCTGATGCATTGGAGTACACTTTAAGGATCTTTGCCACCCACCATGATGCTTTTTCTTAAGGATATTATATACTCGTAAATTATCCGGTTGAAAACATTTTAAATAATCGCGAGAGTAAGTAACACGTTTTGGACACATAATTGAATAATTAAAAAAAATAAATCCGAGAAATCAGATGCAATATAAGTGACGGAAAATTTTGGTAGCCCAAGTTTTAAGCAGGCCGACATAGAGTAATAGGAGGTGACATAATTGATTTAATTAATCACAAGTGGCTTTAGAAGTGAAAATTGAAAGTTGTAAATTACGTGGTGCAGTCACATGAATTAAAATCACCTATCACTATGGATAGGGAGTTACCAAAAGAATATTTATGTCACAAAGATGTCCACTGGACGGACACCAATGAAATAATTAAGAGCTTGAAATTCTGTCTAGAAAGTAATTATCT